GGGGGGGGGGTGTCTCAGTCTCGTGGTTATGACACTCGACGATGGACGCCATGCCTTGTCAAGGCCCGCTTGGGTTAGCTGGATATCAGTTTTATGTATCTTCCCCCCAGACGAGTGTCTGTACGAATCCACACTAGTACACTGGTTTCGTTTACGGATCTCGACGGGTCCATTGTTTTTTTCTTTCACCCACCACACCACACCCCCTTTACCCCGTTGGGGGTCCGGCCCCCGTATGATCCCATCGTCAACTCACAATCGGCTTCTTGGCTCTTGTTCAGCACTGTCCCCCGTGCATACGGACGCGTCCAGTCACAACGGGGAATTTCCAAACTGTTTGCCCATCTTTGATTACTTATTCTGCTTCAAGCAATAGCAAGCCGTCGTCATGTCGCCGCAGCAGATCGGCTGCATATGGCAAGCAAGTAAGCAAGCAAGCAAGAAGCAAGCCCCGTGCATTCTACCCTCGATGCATGCTGTGCGTCGCCAGTGGCGGGAACTGCATGTATGTAAGGCGCACCGGCGCTAAGTTCGCGGGCGTGGGACGACGGTGTTAGTGTCACGTCTCTGCTCCCCTCGCCAGCCATCGGACGCGAGGGAAATGAGGATCCGCTAGGACTCTGGCCTTCTGCGGCATTTTGAGTGGCAGGAACTGTGGCAAACGCAATTTGGACAGCTTGGATATGCAATATGTATTCTTTGGGAGGAGGGAAAATGTCCCCCTGGGTGGGTGGGTGTTGGAGCCAACACTATTGTTACTGGCATGGCGGCTCGATGTCATGTCACAATTCACCTGTTGTATGTTTCCCCGGAACGGACGTCAGTCTGGCCTGGCAAGGTCCCGGCCGGTTTCGCGGTTTCGCACGGCGCGGCGTCTCTTTTGTCAGGGGGCGTTTCAAGGTGGGGGAGGGCACTTGTAAGTTGTCTGACGAGGCGCTGGCTGGGCTGCTCCGCGGTTCGCTATGTGGTCGTACAAAGTAGGGGATAAATTATGTCCGGTAGGCGAGAACGAGAACGAGAACGAGACTACGGGCAGGGCGGGAGAGGTCAAGTGCAGAAATGTTGCCAAGGAGGGGCAACTCGAGCAATTCGAGAGGAATTGTAAGAGTCATAATGCCAATGTGGCCCGTATATTCGACCAAGAAACACTGGACGATGGAGCAAAGCGGGCCCACCACAGGCGCCGCCATACCCTGTCTAGGATAGAGGGACAAGATGCACGTTGCATCGTTAGGGCAAAAGACCGGGCACGTATGTCCGTGTTTCTGACGACTTGGGTATTCCACCAAAGAGAGGGATATTACGACTTTGCCGGCGTATGAACGTTGAAGAGAAGGTTGTCTCGTATACTGGGTGTTTTGCCGAGATGCAGGCCGACTGACAACCTGCAATGGGTGGTGAAGAGGAGTCCAAGCGGTATCGTATCGTTCAGTTAATGGAAGAGGAGTGGTCGTTAGGTATTTGGTACGTTGGTACGTTTGTACGTTTCCAGGGGCCGAGTGTGGCGGAGTTGGGGCGACGCACCGACCACTATAAGCCACCCGGCCACGGACCATAAGGTATCTTCGTGCCATAGGGCAGGGAGATACACATCGTTGTACAGCGTAGACAGCGACATGGACAAGGTATTGTATCCCCACTTCGTACGTTAACAGACATTGAGGATACCTACCTTACCTAAGGTATATTAAGACCCTATTGGGCCTGAAGTCTGTATGGTGCCCAGTTATCAGGCAAGTATACTGGGGATCTTGGTCTTGGGATGTAGGGGTACTCCGTACAGCTGTACAAACGTCCCGGCTGCCAAGGTACCGTATATAAGGTACCTGTACTTTGTAGGTGTATTAGCAGCATGTATCCCCTCTTAAATGCCTTTTTTCTTCGTTTTTCAGCTGTGTTGCCCCCTGCTCGTTTCCCATTCCAGATCATCTTCCGCTTCACAGCTGCATGTAGCCCACAACGCAACGCCTTCAGTAGCTGAGAAGCCCATTTGCTCATGTGCTGCGTTTGGTTCCTGGCTCCCTCCTAAAATTCTGTCATCGAGCATATTCGAATATGCACGCCCCGGCTGCACAGCCATCGGCGGGCGTCTGTCGCCATTGCCGCTACTGCTACCTGCTACCTGCTACTGCACCCGGCCTGCGACCTCTTCGCTTCCTCCGAATCCTCGGCACCCATTAGTCCAACGTACAATGTGAGGCGCTGGAATGGATCCAAATGGATGTGAAGGTTTTCCTCTCGGGACCCGACCGTCGCCAGACTGTACACAGGAGTCGGCGCAGCTAATCGTCCACTGTATCATGCATGAGATGATGACTATCCGGCTTCGTGCCTGGGCAGAAACGTGTCGAAACGAAGCATTGGAAAGGGACGTTGGACCTCCAAGGGCCTGATCCTGAGCTGGGGATATGATTTTCATGTACGTTGTCTATCCCATGTCCCATCTTCGTGGTCCCTGCTATGCCGACACCACCCTCCCCTAAATTCCCGGCTTCTGTCACCCGCAAGTCACTGTCACTGTCACTGTCACACGCCCCCTTCGGCGCAGCGCCCAGACTCGGTACTGATTGACAACCATTGACAACCCTTGTCGACCGCCCTTGCCCTCGGCTGCACCTGGAAGGAAGACCCAGGAAGTCGCAAGTCTCTCTCCAGCCAGTGCCGCTTTCCCCTCCACAACTCGACTCCACCCTCCTGTCTTCGCCCCGTCCACGCCAACGCCCGCCCCTCCCTCCCCTCCTTTTCCACTCCAATGGCGAAAATGGGAACCATGCCATGGTGAAGGAATTACTTTAATACCCCACCACCCTCGCAACATGTCTTACCCTTTCTTACCCTTTCTTACCCTCCCTCTTCCCTCACGAGCACCTCGTCCACCGTTCTCTTCTTCTTGCGGTAGCTGGATTGTTAAGCTTTAATTCCCTCCTCGGGACGGACCAGCGCCGTTTATACCTTTTTTTTTTCCAACTTTATATTCTTCTTCTTTGCCTTGATTGCCTCTTGCCTCTCGCCTCTCGCCTCTCGCCCTCCCATAAATCGCTCGATCTGCTCCTTCAACTCACCATCCGAGCGCAAAGCCTTTACAAAGATCCTATTGCCCGCGCCGCCCCCCGTCTCGCCACAACTCCCGGTCATGCCGCCACAACTGCTCCCGGCCTCGGCGGCCGCCTTTGCCCCGAGGGCTTCTTCCGTTAACGTTGTTCTCGGATCCAGAGTCGAGCCCTGGTTGACACAAACCCTCAAACGCATCAACCGAGTAAAGCGACCTCTCAACAGCATTCCGCAGCACCAAAGATGTCTGACCGAAACCTTGTCCTCAACCAATGCCATCTGGAATCTGGCTGCTCTCATGTTGCCGAAGGCCCCGGAGTCGGAACTCCGTCAGGACGACAATCCCTTGGTCGAGGCCCTCTGCAACTTCCAACTCGTCCATATCCAGGCCTACATCGTACATGTCGACATGGTCCTACGAAACGAGGTCGCCTTCAAGCTGACCCCCGACACCATCGATGCTCTGGTCGAGTACCACGAGGAAACCCACTGCGTCGACGCCAAGGCGAACACCCACGACTGGGCCGAGAAGGACCAGCAGTGCAAGAAGCTCCACGAGGACTTTGTCCAAGCCATCAACAAGTTTGTGTTCCGCACTCATGTCAGCGCCTTGGAGGGTCTCGAGGAGGAGGGCGCCGGCGAGCTGCTCTGCGGGAAGAGTGAGGAGGTCAGGAGCCATATCATGGGTCTCATGAAGCCTCTGTTGGCCCCGCCACCGAGGGTAGTCGATGTCATTCGTCAAGCCCCGCTGCTCCCGAGCTCCCCGGCCGGCGCCTCCATGTGGTCTCAGTCGCAACCCACACCGCATTCGCACCCGCACACGCACACGCACACGCACACAAGCCTCCCCGCAGTTGATCCGTGGAGAATACTACCGTCAAGTCCTAGCGTAACATCCGTGTCGCAAGACTCGGTCACCACCCCCGTCTGGACCAACTTGGCGCTGTCCGAGACGCAAGTGCCGTCACCGACCCCTGCTTTCAGCGAGCCATTCTCTTCCGCCGGTTACTTCTACAGCTCGCCCCTCGTGATGGCACCTATCCCGGCGCTTCCTCTGCCCAGCACCTTCACCCCGCAATGCGGCATCGGCATGGGCTACGGAGGCTTCGGATGGGACCGGTATCCGGAGTACGCCACCATGACCTGACAATCATCACGGTCAGCACCAGCCACTACATCGGACAGTCACCATCCCGTCACCACGACCTCATGATCATGTGTCTGGCATCCCTTTTTTTCTTCTCCTTTTTTACGGCGTTTGGCATCATCAGGGAGCGAACGGTGTTCGAGGTCTCGTCACATACCAAACCAGAAACCCAGCCCTCAAGCTAATTTTCCCGGACTTGCTCTTCCTTTGTCCCGCTCATCCAGCAAGCGTTTTGATTTCGGTCTCGTTTCCTTGTTCGCGCTCATCATGGGAGACTGTATCAGAAACCGCGAGCTCGGTCACAAGCTTCTCTCATTATCTCGACACTTCATGGGCTGGGTCCGGAACGGTTTATTCTGCGTGCATTTACAACTGGCATACAGGAGGCCTTGATTGGTTTTTCCTTCACTTTCTCCTCTCTCTTTTTCTTTTCTCCTTTTTTTCTCTTTTTCTTTGTTCTTTGGTCTCCCGGATTTCTCATCTAAACAAGAGGAAACACGCAGCGATGCGACCCCCGCCCGCTCGGCCGAGTCCGAGACAGAAGGAACCGATTCGATATCCCCCCTCCGGTTATGCATTTTTCTTGTCCTTCTTTTCCTTTTCTTTTCTGCCCTTTTTGTCCCTGCATGGCATTAAGCGGCTTTCTTTTCTCGGAGATACCCCCATTCACAGTCATTCCAACCATGGCACGCTCGCTTACATCACCTTTCTCGACCCCTCCTAATATCCTGTCTTACGATTAATGGACGACGATCTTTGACGACCGAAAACGAATCCTCACGACACCCACACCTGCGAGACGACGAACGAGGTCATGCCAATAGAACGAGTGTCAAACAAAATAGAACTCGTCGGGGGATGTTGGGTCGACTATCTCGACTCCCCGTGCCTGCCTTCTCTTTGACAAACGGGGCGTCGCACATCCATTCAGGAACATTCGGTTTTTTTCGGCTCGCTGAGCGGACAATACAGCCAGGGGCCGGACTCCTTTAATTAACGTATTTTCGCTGACGCGAAGATCGACGGCTGGAATCCATCAATTTGTGGCCAAACATTGCGCAGTATCTGGAATACTGCAACTATTCAGACGCTACTTGTCGACAGGATCCACTTGCTCTGGTCTCCTTGCCTTGCTTGGTGTCATGTGGTTGTTACCCGTGGCATCACGAATGGGACAATGCCAGGTCGCACAGAAAGTGATGGAGCATGGGGGTAAATCACCACAATGAAGCCGGGCATCACGAATACGCTCCACTCCCTGCAGAGCAGGGGGGGGGTTGATGTGATGCGAAGTCCCTTGATGCCATGGTCTTGACTCAGCCCTGTCAGCTCCTACGCCACATTTCCCCACCACGGCGTCAAGAAAAAGATGGGGAAATGTGGACAGGGTCTCGAGTCGAGACAACATGTAGCACGCCGCCTACATGCCCCTCTTCTTCTTCTTCCCATTCGCAGGTGGTTTTGTCCAGAAGCAGAAACGAGCGGGAGGCATTGCATGCTTTGTCCCAATCAGGCCTGGGTGACGCTGGAAGACGTGCGAAGGGAGGGATGCGAGGGGGAAATCGCCGCAGGGATGATGGGGTCAGGGTGCCGCTCTCAAGCTGTGCGCGAGGCGGGAGGTTATGCCTGGCCCCCTTGAAATCATCCCCTGGGAATAGCCGCCGCACTGGTCGGTGCTATCTGCGGCGCGACGGTGCTGGAACACCGGAAAACACCATAGCATATACATGGGTCGAGAGCCCTGGTGGCTCTGGCCTGTTGCAACGTGCTACGGGGACGGGGCAAAGTTGAGGGAAAGCTCCGTACCCATGCTCATACTCTCTCTAGTTACCTCTTTCGTCACAACCAACCTGCTAGTGACATAATCTAAACCTGACAGTTTGTTCAAACATTTTCTCCTTGGTGACCTCTTTCTTGCGTCCGTCTCAAATATTCATGTGTCTGGTGGAAGTCGACGTAAGTCTTGTAGGTACCTATGGTTACGGGTTGTACGAAGTCATTATTCAGGTACTTAAGGTACTTACCTATAGGTTAACAGGTACATGACAAGGCTGGTCTGGGATGTGGGGTGGTCGGGTGGTCGGGTGGTGGGGTGGGAAGTTCCCCATCGAAACTCCGATCATCCGAGGGCCTGGATCCACCCCAACCCACCCCACCCCCACCCCCACCCCTACCCGTCCGGATACAGGGTCCGGGATAGAAAGCGCGTGTCGTTTGCTACGAGGATTCCATGTCGCCAAACTCCTCGAAGCTTCCTCACAGCTACGCAGGAAGCGAGGAATTTTTAATTTTTCAGCTCAGGGCTATTACGCCGACGAAGGCGACAACGCCAAAGGGAAAAGAAATCAAAATCAAAATCAAAATCTTTTACTTTGTCCCCTGGTATAGATGAAATACTCCAAGAAAAGCGTAGAATTCGTAGGGACCTGCCCGCAAAAAATGACACAACCACCAGAATATTCAGTGGAATATGAAGGAAGCTCGGCTCCGTTCGCTTGCATCATGCTTTAAAAGTAACCACCTTTGTCCTGACCCATTCCGCAAGACCACTGGCGGCGTTGAAGCGCCCGTACCCACTCCCCTTGACACCACCGTGCGGCAGATTGCTCTCATCATGTATGCTCATGGAATTGATATGCACGGCGCCCGACTCGATCTCCCGCGCGAACCGGAGTCCCCGTCTGAGGTCCTCGGTGAAGACGGCCGAGGTCAAGCCGTACTCGGTGTCGTTCGCCATGTCAACGGCCTCCTGCTCGTCGGAGATCTCGTACACGGAGACCGAAGGGCCGAAGGACTCGGTGGCGTAGATGTCCATGTCCCGCGTGACGTTGTCCAGCACGACAGGGCGCAGGCGCGTGGCGCTGGCCTCTTGGGCGTCGACGTCGCCGTAGACGACGGAGGCGCCCTTGGCGGTGGCGTCGGCGACGAGCCTCTTGTTCTTGGCGACGGCGAGCTCGTTGATGAGAACGGGGGCGTCGCCGCCGCGGGCCCGCGGGGGGAAGAACTTGTCGATGGAGGCGGCCAGCTTGGCGAGGAATGCGCGCTTGACGGCCTTGTGCACCAGGATCCGCTCGGTGCACATGCACACCTGGCCCGCGTTGAAGAAGGAGCCCAGCGCGGACTGGTCGGCGGCGAGGTCGAGGTCGGCGTCCTCCCACACGATGGCGGGCGCCTTGCCGCCCAGCTCGAGCACGACGGGTTTCAGGTTCTCGCCGGCTAGCTTGGCGATGATGCGGCCTACCACGGTGCTGCCTGTGAAGTTGATCTTCTTGATCAGCGGGTCTGCGATCAGGGCGGATGTGATTTGGGGGGCGGCGGCTGGCTTGTGGGTAATGGTGTTGAGGACGCCGGCGGGCAGGCCGGCTTCGTGGAACACGGAGGCGATGGCCCACATGACGCGGGGGGATAGCTCGGTGCCCTTGAGGACGACGGTGTTCCCGGCGGCCATGGGGAAGACGATGGCGCGAGTGCCGAGGATGTAAGGTGCATTCCTATTTTTTTTGTTCCGCCCTGTTAGCAAGCAACAAAAGAAAGAAAAGAAAAAAGAAGGGGGGGAAAAGAAGAGAAAAAAAAGAAAAAGGCACTTACCACGGCGCAATCGCAAGCACAACACCATACGGCTCACGCAAAACAATGCTCCCAAAGTCGGGGTCTTTCGTCGCCGGGAACGACCCTTCTACCGTAGCGATCCGCCCCGCCACGTCCTTGATCATGTCAATCGCCACGTCCAGGTTGAACTCGCACCACTGCGGCAGCCCCCCGGTTTCCTCGGTCATGTACTGGGCCAGCTCGGCCCGCCGCCTCTGCATGACTTCTGCCGCCTTGAAGAAGATGTCGCGTCGGTACCCCGGCGTTGTCTTGCGCCATGACCGGAACGCCTTGGCGGCCGAATCAACCGCCGCTTTTGCATCTTCCACGGTGGCGCTGCCGCAGTTGTGGACGACTTTGCCGGTAGCCGGGGAGATGACACTGAAGGTCTCGCTGGGATGAACCTCCTTTCCGTTCAGGAAGAAGGGGACCGAGTAGGTCGTCGTTCCGTTGGCGGCCTCGGACGTTGTCTTTTCGGCCATGGTGGGAAATGCCGGAAGCTGTGGTAGAGGTGAGGAGATTTCAAGACCGGGCGTAGAATGTGGCGAGTGTCCCCGCGAATTGAGAACTGCAAACGGAGAGAGGACGACAGGAGGCAGTGTAGGACAAGATCAAGATATACAGGGTTTTGCAAAAGGTGCGGGAACGAGAGAATTTCTCTTTGTATGAAGATCATCACTGCCCCCGGATCTGTTGATCCTCCGACCCCGACCCCGCCCGGGAATCCCCGGGACCCATTTTTTTCCAAACGCCGATCCTAACTGCCGGGACCCCGCATTTCAGGGGCCAGACCAACAACGTGGAGGGTGGAGTCTGGAGGGTGGAGGAACTTCAGCGCTACATAGGATTTTATTGGCTCCTTGCCGGGCTGGTATTGGTGCTGCTGGTGGGGGGGTCTTCATATATTCCGTCCACCTCCTCCCCTCTCCAAACCACGGCATCTCTGAATCCCCAGATCTTTTTGATGTATTGTATTAATATTATAAAAATATAATAAAGCACAAGGAAACAGTTGTAGATAACTGGCGAACAGCAATCCATAGTACAGCACCAGAACACCAATGGCGGGCTAAACTGCACACAATAGGCTGGCTCTGTTGTCAACAAGCTGGAGGTGCCGCATACCTCGATTGATGTCGTTCAAGTCGATTCAAGTCGACAGGGCACTCAAGTCTTCCGCAATCCCGGCTGCGATCCAATCCGCGATGGCCATGACCGTCACCATGGGGTTAACCCCGGTCGCACTGGGGAACACGCTCGAGTCGGCGACATACAGTCCCTCAACGCCAAAGACCCGACCCCGCGAGTCCACCACGCCTTCGTCCTCGTTGGCGGCCATGCGGCATGTGCCCATCTGGTGTGCCGACGAGAAGGCCGCCGCGGGCGGCAAATTACCGGCCCGCCGAACACTGTCAAGCCACGCCGTGAATCGGGGGTTGTTGATGCCATCCAGGCCTGGTTCGTCCCCTTCGTCGGCTTCTTCCCTTACGAAAGGCTGAACACCGGGAAGCAGGGCGTGGATCTCGACCGCGCTCTCTATGTAGCAGATTTTGGCGAGAGCAATGACGCCTTCCAGCGTGTGAGCTCGGTCGAAGGCCGATGTGGTATACGCCACGCGGGGACGGCCGGTGACTTCGTCCGGATAGACGCTGCCGCTGTCGCGGTCGCGAGTGAGTGAGATGAAGCCACCAAAGTGCCGGAATTTCAAGCTGGAGAGTTTGGACTCCAGTCCACCGCGCCAGGGCATGTTGGCGAGAGATACGTATGGCTAGCGGACCGGTTAGCCGGAGGCACCTCGACCCAGACAGAGTACGGTGGGAGGGGAGCATAACGGTAACTTAAATGGGAATGAACATACCATTCCGCAAACGGGCTCTAGCTTGACACCGTGGCCGGAGTTGTCTAAATTTTCGAAACTTGAACAATAGCTCGTAATGATGCCGCCTGCCATGAAGATTTCCCGTCAGTTGGAGAAAAGAAAAATCCAACCCTAGGCCTGGTGGCATGGTGGCATGGTGGCATGGTAGCATGGTAGCAGGGGTTCATAGGTGGCATGCCTACTTACCTTCCCAGGGGATGGTGGGCTCTTTCCAATATGCGCCGACCATATTGCAGGGATGCACGCGGAGGTTCTGTCCGATGTGACGATTCTGCTACCACCGTGAGCGTACCATTCGAATGCAAAGGATTGGTACCCTCAGACCAAGAAAAGTGTGGGCTCTGAAGCACGAAACGCACCGTCAACCCGCTCCTGAGCAGCAGCAATGGGCTACAGAGAGCACCACCGGCCACGATAACCCTCTTAGCCTTGATGACCACGTCCCGAACAACGCGCTGGTCTTCCGGCCACGCAAGGCCACCGTCGGCATCCCTCGACACCCAGCGGCCGACGACGCCGGTAGCTCGCTTGGTGCCGTCCGTCTCGTCGTCAAAAGTAATCTTGTCGACCTCCAGGCCCTCCATGAACTTCGCCCCCGCCCCGGCCGCAGCCGGCAGCCAGCGTACGACGGTCCCTTTCTTCGCCTCCGACGCACACCCCAGATGGCAGCGACCGCAGTAGTGCTCCTCCCCGCCCGTGTTCTGCGGCGCCGCCGCCGCATGCCAGCCGAGTTTCCGGGACCCTTCGAGGAGAACCCTGTTCCTGTGGTTATGGCGGATCGCGTCGGTGCCGACGCCCATCTGGGCGCACACCTTATCGAGGGACGCCTGGAACTGCGCCGAGGTGAAGAACGGGAGGCCGTGTTCCCGGGCCCACTCCTCGCGCACGAAGCCCTGTGTCTGGAGGGCGACGCTCCAGTTCACGGTGCCGCCGCCGCCCCAGCAGGCGCCGGCGACCAGGTTGAGGCTGGAGTCGTCGCTCGTGAGGAAGCCGCCGTTCTCGTAGAGATGGCGACAGCCGTCTTCCTGGGACATGGGCAGCTGGGAGGGGGGGAAGTGGTAGCCCTTGTCGACGACGAGGACGCGGTGGCCGGCCTCGGCGAGGGACTTGGCGCACACGGCGCCACCACAGCCCGAACCGACGATGACGATGTCGGTTTCGACGGAGGCCGGTCCGTCGTCAGTGGCCGGGTGGGGCTGCTCGAAGCGGAAGTTGAAGCCCTCCGCGGGACGGTGGTGTTCGGGGGTATCGGTGTAGTCGATAAGCTCTCGGAGGAGGGGGTTGGTCACGAGGGAGGCTTTGTGAGCCAGGGTGGTCAAGGACTTGCAGAGGACGCGAAGGGAAGTGAGTCGAGATGCGGTCCAGGCTTTGAGGATGGCCTCCCGGATGTGGATGGGCTGGTGGTGGACTGCGGCGAAGTAGCCCGTGAGGAGAAGGCCCCCTAGGCGAGTGCTGCGGAGGGATTAGCTCGGTGCGATGAGATATATCCATATATCCATGAATGAGAAAGGCCAGTAAACAGAAGAGAGACGGCCCCCGTGCATACCCTAGACTAGACAGGGCCCTACCCATGGCATCGCGGGCTGTGCTAGAGACCATGGACAGACTCTGGATCACGTCGGCTCGGAAACGAGCATCTTGAACGGGACAAAATTCGAGATAGTCTTTGAAACGATCCTCGGGCGGCGCGCCGGCGTCCATGGCAGCACGGGCAAGGCGGATGGCTTCTGAGTATTCCGCATCGGGAAGCTTGACCTGGCTATTCTCATCGGAGACGTCGGATTCGCTGCGGATAGAAGGTAGTATGGCCTCCATCAAAGACCATAACACGGCCCATTGCGTCTCATTCCAGAAAGAGGGCTCAGAGAGAGGAGGGGATTGTAATGCCGACGGCGCTGCCTGGGACGGCATCGAGCTGGAGGTGGAGGCTACATCTGGGCCGGTCATGGTTACTTGAGCGTCGAGAGATGGGGATTTTGGGTAGAGATCAGGGAAGGGACGAAGAGCTGGTCCTCCAAGGAGAATCTACTGAAGCCGTTGGGTAATGTAACGAATGCAGGTGAAGACTGGAATTGATCGGCTGATCTAGGACAGGACAGGACAGGACAGGGGCTCGGTCAGGGGGGTCAAAACCTCCGACACCTAGGGGACCTGGGGGGGTCCACGCACGTGGTCTGTGCGACCTCTTGGTCTCGGGTGAGAAAGGTACTGCGTACAATGTATGCACCCCAGTTTTCGCACCTGAATACTGAGGACGGAAGTATCTGGAGGTACTCAATACTTTGTACTTGCTGACATCGTCCGTTCTTCACCATTGTCCGTGTCCGTACCTTAAGGTAGCTACATACGAAATACAACGAGTCTATGAACGTCTGCGCTTTGACTCGACAAAGGAGCTCCACGATACCCGTCCCGTTTACCTATTGACTGCTTATAAAAGCAAGCTCTTTACAGGTGCAAATGCTAACGAACGTATTGTTCATTCGACAAGTAAGGTGAGAACAGGAAAAAAAAACGCTGTGATAGCTACGTCAAGTCGGTCACTCGCCGAGCTTCATGTCTATCCATCTCCTGATTCTAATTGCATAATTGATGCCATCAAATCGACTGCTAGTCGGGTGTCTGTCTTTCTATTTCACCTTCTGACGGGTCCTAATACTGAATCATTGCGGGAGGTAGAATATACAAATAATTGGGGCATCTTTGCGTTCACAAACAGATGGGAGCGAACAGACACTATCAAGACCAGGTGAGAATACTACAAAGTAGTCCATGTAAAGGATAACATATTCCTTCCTTCCGCTCCGAACTTCTAGCTTCAATACCTAATCAATATGGAGTAATTAATCAATCTGCCGATATCCACGATAAATCTGTTGGATCTATGCTCCGGACGATGCGGGCTCGGCCGAGACGCGGCAGAAAGAGCTAAACATTTACCTATAAACCCGCCAAAACGGCTCCGCAAAGTAAAGGTGGAAACTGTGTTGCGCCACTATGTGTAGTGCCCTTTGTGACGATTCAGTTCTTGGCCTTGACGAGGGAAAGAATTCTATAAGAAGAAAGAAGGGGAAGACAGGGGATGGATGAAAGACGCCTCGCCTCGTCCAATGAAACAATGAACGGCATAAAAATAATAATAATAACAATAATAATAAAAACTAGGATTCTCGAAGAATCAGACGATCCATTGTTCCATGGCTCTATCAATTTGTTGAGACTCGTTCGCCCCAGTGAAACTTCTCACTGCTTATAATTGCCAAGATGTCATCGTGTGTTTGGGTTTTGGACTTCAACTACGAATATTCCTCGGTTGTCGTCGACACGCACGTGGCAGTCAAATTGTTGGAATTCACATGTGATTTCTCCATGAAGACTTGACAGGCAAACACCAATGGGGGGCCCACCTGTCAATTGTCAAATTCAACGATCTAAACTGAGCGAAGACATAATACCTAGTGAGGGTATAGATGGATGCGGCAGATAGGGTCCGGACGGCCAATACGGATATATACGTGTACAGTGAGGAGGTATCACAGAACCACATCTCCAACTCATCATGGTCACATTACGGAATACTGTAGCTCGGACAATCTTGGAGTGGACTTCAGCAAGTGAAACAAGCTGACAAATTTAAGAGAGCTTCACTGTCCGATAGTTTGCCAGACCATGAGTTATACTCCGTAGGTATCCCTACTGAACCTCGATGGGAAGAGACCTGGCATGTTTAAGCGATTCTTCGTCGAGTCGCGGTGGATCTCTTTCGAGTACCACAATTATGTATATACACATCGTATATGTAAGCCAATTGTTATAACCTGTGTTGGTCGTGCCTTTTTCAGCGTGGTCGTCGTACGTTGTATGCAATTCCTCATAGAAACTCCATCACTGGGGGAAGAATATACAGAACATGAACGTCGCCCAATCATAAAAGGGACGGATACTTTGTCCGGATGAGAGTCGGGCGCATACGTCACAGCCAACCCCCACTTGCGAACAGAAACCAGTTCGCACAAAGTACGCAATACAAAAAAAAAAAAAAAAAAAAAAAAGGAAGAAAAAAGGAAGAAAAAAGGCAGATCTGTCGTAGTGGTTTTGGAGCCTCTCGAGTCACTTTGTGCGGAGTTTTTACTGTGGCGGCAAATTTCCCATCAAACGTCCTTGGGCCCCTGGTTCGGCCGACCGGCACCCCGGACGGACCCTAAATTGGGATTAGATCCTCAACAAAATGCACATGTACAACGTACAACGTACGTACGCAGGTACGTACCTAAGTAATCCAAGTACCGTAATCATGAGGTAGGAAGACGAAGTACCTAGGTACTTCACACACACTCAGGTTCATTCTTCTATCCCATCCACCCCATCCACTTGGGCTCCCAGATCGCTTTCCTGAGATCGCACTTCCCAGTTGGTGTTGGCTTCCGGGCTAGGCCCCACCACACATGCCGCTAAGAAGCCTACCCGAACGGCGAAGTCCCGCCCCGGTTTTCCATTGTCCCCGAATAATTCACTACTATCAACTTTGTTGGCCAGGTATGTAGGCCGTGTATCCTAATTACAGAGTATTTCATGCCTTAGATTTAATTAGCACGGCGATGCTTCTTGCACTTTAATCGACCAGATACAACAAACTCAGTACGTCGCTCTGTCTGATAAGCGCGTCCGGGAGAATTGGCACACGTAGGTATGGTAGGTATCACGCGACGTCTGCTGACAAACACCACTGAGAGCAATGATGATTTGCATCTCATACCGGATAACCGCCAATAACAATACCTCCCGTAATCTGTAAGGAAAACAGAGCATTACCCGTCCCTCTGAAATCGCAAAGACATGATCAAGGTATTGGACCGTACTTCGTAGTATGTGTACACTACGAAGTACAGCTTTGGTGATCATCGGCCTCTGCCGGTCAACAACCGGGACGACACCGAGTGCAGCCAATGGAATGGACGGATTTGCGCGGGACCCAAAGGGCTGGGGCCTCTTTCTCTGGGGCGGCACCGTGGCACACACGCTCAACTTCGTAATCGAGAATATACAACGTACAACACAGCAAAGGCGGCGGGGCGGCACTTGCACTTGACCCTTGGGCCCTTGCCCTTCGACCTTCGCTTCGACCTCTTCTTCAATTCGTTGACATCCCGCCCCCGGTTCCGGGTGTCTGTCCGCCCCTGCCCCGCCCTTTGTCTCTGAGAACCCGCATTTTTGTTCAACATCCCCAAAGGAAAAAAAAGTTGTTGACCTCGGCATCCATTTGGCTGGGAAAGGGAGAACAAGCTATGGACTCCCACATGTCTTGCCTTTCGCCATTCCTCATGTCGCACGCTCCACACTATTACGTAGGTATCTGTCAGACCAAGTCACACACATGAGAGGGCGAGACATGAAGTAGTAGTGTACAGAGTCTTGATAAACCTTGCTTATTTATGTCTTGACCTTTTCTATGATTCTTCCTTGTCTGTCCCCCACCTTCGAGTCTTTCCATCAATCCTGTCCGTACTCCTCGCGACATTCCTCCATACTCCCTACATACCTAGGAATCTCGGGCCATCCCTACTCGAACCCTGACCTATATTCACCTACGTACATACATCTATACATACAGCCCCGGGACTGCAAAGCCCGTTTCTTGAGCGAGTCCCCTGGGCTGCCCTGAATTGCGCTCCTCCCTACGACACCGACCCCAGCCATCCATAGGTTGCGAACCCGTACCTAGCGTCATGTTTTTCACGATGCCGTCTGGCGCCACCATCATCGGTGGACTGCCATCGTCAGCCCTCTTCTCTGTTCCCACAGGCCAGGAACCGTTGGGCGTCCCTCCGCCAGCCCCCGGCTCGAGCTCGACAACCTTCGCCATCCCAGACCACATTTACACCGCAGTGCTCGACGCCAGGGTCCCCATCACCATCGCGACCTTGTACGCCGTCACCGTGAAGTTGCTCAACCGCTACAACACGTCAAATGGCAAGAAGCCCTGGGCCATCAGCAAGACCGCGCCCTTCAAGGCCTTCGTCATCCTGCATAACCTTTTCCTCGCCGTCTACTCGGCCTGGACCTTCTGGGGCATGCTGGGAGGGATGAGGAGGACGGTTGTCAGCCCCATGGGACCTCACGGACTGGCTGCCACTGCCGATAGCCTTTGCCAGGTGAACGGCCCTCCTGGTTTCGGATATGCCACCGTCCACAGCGACACCCTCGGTCAATGGACAAGCTTCAGCGGCCCTGCCCCTCTGGGCAGCGACGGAGCTCCCAGCAGGGAAGTCTACGGTAGGCTCTGGAACGAAGGTCTTGCCTTCTACGGCTGGATTTTCTACCTCAGCAAGTTCTACGAGGTCCTGGACACCTTCGTCATCCTCGCCAAGGGCAAGCTCAGCTCCACCCTCCAGACGTACCACCATGCTGGTGCCATGATGTGCATGTGGGCCGGCATGCGCTACATGTCCGCTCCTATCTGGATTTTCGTCTTGGTCAACTCGTTCATTCATGCCCTTATGGTAAGCATTTGACCTCCTTTTCCTGAGCCCCGCTTCCGGTACGTCCGAAGAGAAAACACTAACAGTCGTATTCCCTAAATTAGTATACTTACTATACCCTAACGGCCTTCAACGTCCGAGTGCCGACGCCCATCAAGCGCTCCCTCACCACGATGCAGATCATGCAGTTCGTCCTCGGCGCCTCCTTCGCCATGCTACACTCTTTCATCTCCTACACCATCCCCATGGTCGTCCCCGTCGAGAACGCGGCCAAGGCCGCCGCCGCCAGCTCCCCCGCCGCCGGCGCCGTCGTCACCACCACCCTCGGCGCCCTCGACAGCCTCAGGCAGCTGATCACCGGGGGGCTAGACGCCGCCGTCGCCTCCCCCGTGCCCACGGCCGAGAGCGTCGCCGCCGCCGCCGCCGCCGCCGCGTCGTCATCGTCGTCTCAGACCGAGACCATCTTCGTCACCCAACCGTGCATCACCACGAGCGGCGAGACCTTCGCCATCTGGCTGAACGTGTTCTACCTCGCGCCCCTGACCTACCTGTTCGTCATGTTCTTCATCCGCAGCTACCTCCGCCGGAGCAGCGCCGAGTCGTCGCGCCAGGTCAAGGGCAAGCCGCGCCGCCAGAGCAACGTCACCTTGGCCGAGAAGGCTGGCTGGGATGCCGCTCGGGACGTTAACCGGGAGATCTACCACAATGGGTCCGAGGAGGGCGGCCTTGCGGAGAAGACCAACGGCAAGGCCAGGTACTAGGTGAAGGCTTTGCTTTTGGGGCGGAAGCTTGGTTGAGAGTCAACGGAGTTGCCTTACTGGCAGCGGAGATTGGCCCGAGAGGTACGGAAAAAAAAAAGGGGCGTTTTTATGGGATTAAAGAAAACTAACTCGGGTTAATCGAGGGGCGGACTGTATGGATTTTACCGGTATGTCTTGACGTATAATTTTGAAAATGACGATGGCGCTTCGTTTATACCGAAAAAGGAGAACAAAAAGATTCAAAAAAAAAATAACATAATAACTATCAGCGTTAATACTTCAACGGCTGTTGTCCATGGAATCATCCCGTTGGAAAGCAGAATTGTTCTCTCCTGTCGCTGCTACTAGTCATTAGTCGTACCACATGTCAATCAGCGCATTGTCTGTCCTCGTGTAATAATAGACTGGCTAGGTGCTGTAATTCATCATCAACATGGCATGGCTTATTCATTTACGCATCTACAGGTGGTTGGGGTCAGATTATATCGCCTGAGCTCAGTATATTGACCGCGCTATGTACAACACATAGCTTTAGCAAGTCATGGCAGTCCAGTTCTCAAATGCCTCCTCCAGGTGTATGATCCGGCAAACCAAAATAAAGCAACAAGATCGATCAGTGTGGCAGCTACAAAAGCCAAGCCCACATATTCCCGCTTCCCGCCGTAAAGGGGGATAAGATGGCGAGGGGGGCCAAGTACGCTGCGAAAAGATGATCCGGGGTATAACCTCCCATGTGTCCCGAGCCAATTGCATTCCTCTTTCTCTTCATCGCAGACTTGGTAGGCTGAAAGCCGTGGCCGTCGTTGGGAGAGGTAAACGCCTCCCCTGGCATGTCGTGGAGGGGTAAATGAAGAAGCAAAACCAAAGAAAATAGAAAAGAAAACTGAACGAACAAAACAAAAAAAGCAATCTCGGTCCAACGCCGCGCTGAAGGTGACACCAGCGACCCAATGTTCCAGTAAATAGCAAACGGAACGATGAGAGTGTGAAAACAAAGAATCGCTCTCTATATGTGTTCGGAAATTCGGATGATTAGGGGATAGGGAGGGTTGTCGCGGTCTGCGGTTGGCGAGACAAGGAGAGGAGCCAAAAATTCCCGCTCACTTGTCCACCTACTCGCTGTTGTGTGGTGTGTTGTTGGGGGGGTTTTGATACCAATGGAGGAATGTCTATCTGTGTCTATGGTCGTCCCAGTCATAGGTCGGTCGGTCGTTTGCCAAATCGTCAAGAGGATGCCCGCTCGGTTATGTTTTTCGATCCCAGTCTCCACGGCTTCGGATTCCTGGTAGATCTCTCCCGTAGGTGTACGAGGGGATCTGAAAAGAAATCGTGTTGCAAAAAAAGTAAGAAAAAAAGAAAAGAAAAAAGAAAAAAAAAGAAGAAGAAAAAACGTATTGTGCCGTGTTGCGTCGTGCTATCGTTTTAGAACGTGCTCCAGCTCCAATCCCTCGGCACACTGGCAGCTGCCTCGGCGGCTCTCGCATGACCTAGTGTCGCACTCGAAGCGGCGCTCATGGGGCTGCTGGTAGCGATGGGGCTTGTGGGCGCGGTCGAGGGGGCCGTCGAAATGTGCCCGTTGACGGGCGAGTGGTCGACGGAGGAACCTCGCTCGCTGCTAGCCTGGCTGTTGTTTCGGCTCTTCCATGCGACGAACTCAGAGAAGCAGTGGGCGCAAGAGCGGGAAGGAGAGGCGCGCGGGTTGTAGTTGCAGTCTTGGTCCAGGGGGATCGCGTACGACGAGTGAGGGTCGCAGAAGATGTTGCCGCATTTCCGGCAGTGGTGACGGCGGTAGAAGTAGTTGAACGCTCGCTTACATGTCGGGTCATCGCAGATGGTGGATAGGGCATCGGGCTGTTTGTTACAAGTTGCGTTAGTCACACCGAACACACGTATGCAAAAGACGCGTTCATGTCGCTATACGAGGCTCGTGAGAGCTTCCATTGGACTGCAGAGTGGGGCCCGGGGGGGGGCGACAGAGGATACGAGGGACGAATTTACCTTCCAATGTTTGCGGGTGGGCTCGCCTGTGGCCTGGGGGTAAAGACTCGGGTCAAGGTCGGCATCGAGCTCCTCGTTGCTGTCGCCTGTGGCGCGACGGCCCAGTCGTGAACCGAAGACGCCCAAGCCGGGAATGTTGATGAAGCTGTTGCTGGCACGGCGTAACGTGAGCTGGGGACCGTCGGCAGGGCCTTCATTTTGCAAAGACCGAGGTAGCTTGGAAGGGAATCGGGTCGGGCGCAGTGCAGCAGGCATAAAGAGAGGCCGCGATTGGCGTGCGCCCTGGAAGCGGCCGGTAGGTGTTGTTGGGGAATTGTGGCCCGAAGTGCTCGACGGCGAGATTTGTTCTTGCTGGGAGTGGGAGGTTGGCGGAATTTGATAAGAGTGGGAGCGCCCATGGGAGATATAGGGATGATTTTGCGGCGCTTGGTGTGTCGGCGCAAAGTAGTGGGAGGGCGGTGCTTGTTGGTTGTGGAATGGAGCGGGCATGATGAGATCAGCAGCCATAGTCGCGATGAGAGTCTTACTCAGGCCGTGGCAGTCGAAAGACGTGGTGTGCTAGTCGTGTGATTTCTCGACTTGGTTTTGAGCTGCAGGTAAGCCGAGGCGTCGTTGAATTCGTCCGACCGATCTATGAGTTGGGTCGAGAACAGCTTCGGCTACGACGCGTTGGCCATTCCTCGGTATTGATAACAAGACCGTTAAGTTATGTGATCTGACCCCCCCGTTTCAGTATATAATTGGTGACTGCAGTAGTGTCCTCGTTAATCAATAAGAATAAGGGGAATGTTCTGAGAGATTTATGTCAAGAGCTGAGAACTCGATATTCGTAAATCTCGTAAACGGTTTGTGGGTTGAAAGTGAGCGGTAAGCAAGAGGGAGGGGGTGGAGAGGTGAATCATGGGTGTGGGAGGCGAAGAGGAGGGCTTTCTATTGGTTTTATCAGTGCGGTAAATGGGGGAGGCCCAGCACCCGACGCCAAGGGAATTCACTGTAACAGCGATTCAGAAGTGGAGTCTTAGGGGGGGGAGAGGGGAGAAGGCGGGGGGGCTAATACTAACGTACGGTACAGACCTAACCAATAGGTAGTAAATACCTTACTGAGTTAGGTACCTACAACGGTAGTCCTGGCAAGGGCTGGGCGGGGCGTGCCTTCCATGCTCTCATGGGCATGGAACTAGGATCAGGATAAGGTACTTACATGTCCGCCACCGCCTGAGCAACAAAAGAGTACCTAGATACCTTAGGTATGTACAATATCCACAAGTCGTGACCAGACATGCCAGCATCGCAACTCATTACTGTACACAAGAGTTAATTATACGTGCATCTCTCTATTCCATGAGATACGGGGTCGCTTCATGGGTAGGTAATAATGACCCGTCTCCGCTGTTCTTTTGACGAATGAGGGGATTTGGGTGCATGTCTTCGATCACAGAATCTCAGACCGATGGGCACGGCGCAACGACACCGATAAGCAACCTTTCCAGCCTGCCTTACACTATCCGGCTGCAGCTCCAAGCGCCGATACCAGCAGTGTCCTGCATGTCAATATGCGGTCATGTCTTGTCAAGAAATGACATTCAGTGAGCAGACGGGGAGAATAAGCCGGCAGCCATCGCCATCAAGTTATCTTGTCAAGTTATCTTGTGCGACTACTGTCGAGTGATTTCGACAAATGGTCTGCAGAACCCGGGTACCTATCCGTACTGTAAAAAGCCAAGCAAGCAATCATCATCTCGCATTTGACGAAGATGAATACCTACACGTGTGGAAGAGGCATATTGATGAGTATGGAGTTGAGCAGGGGCACTGCGTGTACATAAGGTACGGAGAGCATCTGGATTGGTAAGTGACATGTCATCTCTTGATATCAAGCAACGGGCGGCTTGCAGAATTTCCTGATCGATCCTCTTTTAAACTGAAGATGCAACACTGTGCCAAGGGTTACATCGCATGCTGGGGTATTAGGAGGGGGGAGGGGAGATATCGAGTCGGTCGGGTCAAAGCATTGTCGTCTCCGTCTCCCGACTTGGCTCGTCCGAGCATCGACGTCCAAGTTATTAACCTTTTATCCATCTTCGGCAGCAATCCGCTATGCACGCCTAGTTAGTGCGACGCACGAAACTGTACCTACAGTTGGGACACATTCAATGGAATACCGAGTGATAATAGATGACAATACCATTCCTATGCAGGTCGCCATGCCAGTATTCGTGCGTATAACGTACGCAGCAATTATGTCGTGGGATGTTCCTCAAACTGCTCCGAAGATACGCCGTGCTCAAATCTCCTCCCCACTCACTAAGCAGGACCGCCTCCAGTGTCGCGTGATCACCCTCTTGGCTTGAGCATGCTATTTACGAAGTACGGGAGTACGAATAACTTCTCAAACTGACATTATCTCGCGGAAGCTTGCGCGCCTTCCTCTCCTCTCCCCTCCCAGAACCATCTCCTCTCGCCCGAGCTCTGAGCTATGTTGAGATGCACGATGCACGATGCACGATGCACGATGCACGACTCAGCAAAACACGGGTAGAGTTCGAGGCACTTTGCGGCTTGACTCGACTTTTTAGGGCGTAGGACCCTCAGAGTTGGTGGGCCCAGGCGATTCGCCGCCGTTCTCCCTTTTTCGGTAAATTATTACATACCTACCTGTTCTAGTGTATCACTTCGGACCGCGGACGGAATGCGATCGACGCTTGTCGTGGTCCGACTGAACGCTAATCCCAGACGACTGGTAAAAGACCGAGGACGACCCGCCAACTCCGACCACAATTACTAGAAACGACCAGCCAATAGGACGATACCGAGGCACCAGGTCGCCGTTCTGTTGCGTAGGTCGGTACGGAAGTAGGTATTTCAAAGACTGAAGCAAAAGAGCAACGTTGCCGAGACGCACTTCGTACGCTCAATGTACTCGCGCTCAGCCCCAGGAGTCAAACAAGCCCACGGCCGACGCAACTCCAGTCGAAGAGTTGGCAATGTGGTGAAATTACTGATTGATTGACCCCCGATGTTCGAGAAGACTTGGTACTGGGTAATGGTTTGTCCTTTTCATGAGGTATAAACTCCGAACGGGCCCTTGTTTTTAGGGTGGAGATAGTTAGCATCACAGCCTCGATACGCTTTGCTCCGTATAAACGGTCCCACAATGGCCCTCGCGGACCCCGGCAGACACGCGAGCATGGAAGCGCTGACGACGATGTTCGGACAATGTATCTGGTCTCCGGGTGTGGGTTCAGGAGAAACGGACTTGCCACGGACTTGCCACCAATTGACAAGACGACGTTGAGATGCAAAGGAGCAATGCTTGCACTTGGGTTGGTTCTCGAGACCAATGTTAGTGTATGTACGGAACGTGATCCCCTATTCCCTCCCTGCTTTGGCTTGTCTGGTCATGTCGCGCAAAGAAAGTGTCCGACAGTACGGTAAGTACGGTAACTCGCATGGCCTCGCTTATGTATGCTAGCCGTGGACATCAATTAATCAATCCACTTCAGACCGTTCCCAAGGCCGGAGAATGACAGGGAGGGACTGAAGTTGTGGAAGCAAAGGGAGACAGCAGATCGATCTTGCCGAATGTTTCTTCCCACTTCAATACCCTTCGTGTAGGTATTTCGGTTTGACCCGGATGGCGGCACGGCAGCGCCGTTTTCCTGGGAAGATGCAGACCCGGAAGAGATCGGCGATGTGAGCAGTTACACTTCGGAACTTGGCACGTTGACCGGCATCTACGAAGTACAGAGTATTAGACCCTATCCGGGTACTCCGTACCCTCCGACCTTTTGTTTACGTTGCAAGTGATACACCTATCGAGTTTAGATATTGAGGATGTGGTAGCCGGAGACTTGGCATAACACTTCCCAATGCCATGTCTTTCTTACATGGATAAACGTCGTGGTAATGTGTTGTCTTGTATTCTCGCAGTTGAATAGAACGAACCCTGCAGCGGTTGTTCAGAGTGCTGAAGTCCTGTGTGAAGGTGTATAATAAGGTACAGTTGTAAGGTAAAGTACCCAGTACATGCAATGCAGACTATACGGTAGGTACCTACCTAGGTACTATTATGTACCGCACCTCGGCTTGGCATTGGTGGACCATGGTCCGTGCGCTTGCAGAACTACGCCGGAAGTATCGGCCTGTTACATCGATCGCAATTACAAGAACGGGCGTCGACTCGCCCAACACTGGCATTGTTATCGTCGAAATATTATTGGTTAGTGGTAAATCTTCCTAGGTACCCAACAGTTACGCCGTAATCATTAGGTATTTCGTACCTCAGTTACGACGGGGCAACTGCGTAGAACCATTCGGTAATTAATTAATTACTCCCTCTGTACTCTCTCCAAACCACCGAGTCGTTCTCAATTCCCCCGAGACGTCGAGACTGATTGTGTCTCATCAGAAGAGCCGCATCCGAACACTATGTCCTCCTCTCGCCAGTCCCATAGATCATAATGAGCATGATGGGTGCCAATCACTGCCTTGACAGGACTTTGACCTCGAGTCTGAGAAGTTTCCACCAGAGCGACTCCAGTTCCATAGAGCTTCAACTCGCGCCTTCGATTAAGAATCACACATTTCGCATCATCCATCAGTCTTGATCTTGGCTTATCTCGATTCTCGAGTTCAAGTCCCCGGTAAAATCAGACGGGCGTTTTGATACCCGTTCAGATACATGTGTACCAAGCCCAACGTCGTCATTTCTGGAGGCTTTTTCTGTCGATCCTTCAAACTATATGACTTCATGTGTGCATTAGTATGGCTTCAATACGTGTACCGAACTTAGCAAATGAATAGATCAAGTCGAGATGAAAATCAATTGAGCCTAATTAGATATTCTCTCCGTTTTGGGAGAGCTCACGGGAGTGGACAAGACGATAGTGATCCCCAAAGGTATTCTCATGATTCCCGTGTACCCAACCCTTTGCCTCTGCTTCGTACAGTGATCTGGGTAGAAGACATTCTCCAACCATGACGTCGATCCGATCAGGAGCAGAAGGTAGGTAGCAGATGATCTCAGGTGGACATGTTCCTGGTGGGAGTTGGGCTCTGAACGTCGAACGTCGAAGCTGACGCCTCACCAGGACTAAAAAATGACAGACGACAACGACGCTGCGGGCTGAAGAATAATTGCTGCAAGTCCCGCTTGCGTTTTGAGGCTCCTTGAGCTTGAGGTCATCACTGGAGCGAGTACGAACACTCCGTGGGCTAGTCACAACGAACAAGGGAAACGATATGAAGCACGTTGATATGATGCAAGGCAAGAAGGATGTGAGAATGTCCCATACTGGGAAGAGACTCAAAACTCGTAAGCGAACCGCTCGAACGGAACAACACCCATCGGTCGTTTGAGATGCGTCGATGCAGTGCTGCGACCCTGTGAACGGCGTTCAGGTCTTTTGATGCCTGCCGATGCAACTAGCTTAACCCTTGTAGCATCAAGTCATGGACCGTGACAAGCTTTCACGGCATCTCCCATCGTCCGCTTTTCCCGCCGTCCTTCAACGCGACCCTCAACCCACTGATGACCATCCCCTTATCCACCGCCTTGCACATGTCGTACACCGTCAACGCCGCCGTGCTCGCAGCCGTCATGGCCTCCATCTCCACCCCTGTCTTCCCGTCGCACGTAACGGTTGCCTCAACCTGGAGAGCATTGTCTCCACTGGCTTCGTCGGAACCGCAGTGATCAAGGCCCTCTCCACTAGGTGGCTCCACCGTCACCTCCCCTGCTGCTGCTGCTGCTGCTGGTGGTGGTGGTCCAAGCGATGTTGATGATGGAGGTGGGGCGTGTCTTGTAGGATACAGCTCCACGCTAACATGAGAGAGTGAAATGGGGTGGCACAGCGGTATCAGGTCCGCGGTCCGCTTGGCGGCCATGATGCCGGCGATGCGCGCAACGCCAAGGACGTCTCCTTTCTTCATCTGGTTGTCGTGGATGAGGCGGAGGGCCGTGGGGTTAGAGAAGGTGATTGTGCAGACGGCCTTGGCGATCCGTGACGTGGATTTCTTGTCTGTGATGGAGACCATGTGTGCTGACCCCGAAGGCGTTACATGGGTGAGTTTCTTCTGGGCATTTTCGTTCTCCTTTGGTTCAGGTCTTTCGCCCTGTCTTGTTGCGTTCCTTTTGGTCTCTCTTGCTTCGTCTTCCTCCTTCTTCTTATGATGGCTGTTGTCCTGGCTGTCCGGTCGGGTGCTAGTAGACATGAGACGGAGTTGTTGGCCGGCGGTGGGTAGAGACGAAGCACCGGGTAAGAAACCGAATCCAGGGACAGTGCGAGAACATGTTCGGAGAAAATACTGCGAAATAGGAAGCACGGTTTTCATGCCTTGGACCTCAGGTGATGCTCGTGATGAGTGGGATGAGAGAGCCATCGAGTCTATATAATCAGACTATTTAGCTCCTGTCCTGTCTGTCATACATGCGTTCTCGATGGGATTTCCCAAAGCAAGGCCTCGCATCATCATGTGCAAACCATGTCCATTCATAACGCCATACCCAATGCATCAAACCGGCCGATAAGGACAACAACCAAGCGAAAAGGCTGGTGGTGGCGGGGTGGAAAGTGGAAATATATGAAGAAAAAAAGCGGAGGAGAAGAAGCAGGCCAGGCCATTTTACCCACCTATCAAGATCATAGGCCGATTCTTCATGTGTTCCAGCTCCCCTAAGCCCGCGTGCTTTTCCTCCTTCCCCTTGACTGCCATTCCAATGACGTTAAGAAGCTCCGATTCGGTTGGGACCACCCCAAGAGGTCGACTGTCTGAGCCTGCCAGATCCTGGCGGCGGTTCATCTCCATCTGCTTCATGGCCTCAAATGCGGCCTCGTCAATGGGCTCTCCTCCGTTGGACTGCCGTATGATGTCGCGCAGAGAAACCTCGTCGTTCCCGAAGAGGCACACTTTGAGATTACCGTCGCTAGTGATGCGGAGGCGGTTGCAGGTGCCGCAAAAGTTGTGCGTCATGCTGGTGACAAAACCGACGCGGCCGGTGAAGCCGGGGACCTTCCACGTCTTGCTCGTGTCGTTGGGATGGTCGCGGACCTTGTGAAGACCCGGATGCGCGGCGCGGATGGTGTCGAGCATCTCTGCGTAGGCGAACATCTTGCCCTCGTTCCAGCGGTTACCGTCGAAGGGCATGTACTCTATGAAGCGAACCTCGACGTCGTGGTCGCGGGTCATGTCGACAAAGGAGAGGATCTCGCGGTCGTTGCGGCCCCGCATGACGACGCAGTTGATTTTGAACTTGATGCCGGCGCCATGGCGGTTGAGCTCGAGGATGCGGTCGATGCTCTTGCGGACGGCCGAGAAGCCGTCGCGCCGCGTCATGATCTGAAACTGGAAGGGGTCCAACGTGTCGAGGCTCAGGTTGATCCCCGTCAGGCCGGACTCGACCATGGCGTCTAGTTTGCGGTGCAGCGAGATGCCGTTGGTGGTGAGGCACAGTTCGTGGAGACCGTGCGGGCGGAGGGTGCCGAGCTGACGCATGAGCGGCACGATGTCGCGGCGGACGGTGGGCTCGCCGCCAGTCAGTCGGATCTTAGTGACGCCCTGGGAGACGAAGACGGAAGAGAGCAGGAGTATCTCTGGGGTCGTCAGGAGCTCCCGAGTGGGTGACAGAGGAACACCGTCCTCGGGCATACAGTAGAGGCATCGTAAGTTGCACCGTTCGGTGACGGATATACGGAGGTAGTCGTGTTGCCGACTGAATGTGTCGGTGAGAAAGTCGGAAAACGGCTTCGCGTTCTTGATAGCCTCACGTCGTTCGGACGCCGGTGCGGACCGAGGGGCGTTCGGTGTGGCATCCGATATGGCTGCTGCATGGAGGCGCCTCCTTGTTTCCGGTCGCCGTAGCAATGCTGATGGACGCGCCGGTGTCGTTGGCGCGGCTAATTGTGGCGGTGGTTGCACTCTAGGCCAGGCGGGCCAGGACGCCAAAGACGTCGCTCGCACGACTCGTGTTGGGAGAGCGTGCGCCATGGCGGATGAGTTACTTCTTTCAGAGCTTGAAGCGGCGCCCTCTTCTCCTCATTATCCAACGCCGACGTTAATCGATGAGTGGCTGATGGCTGAAATAATTACGGAACTCGCTGAATCGACCACCAGGCGAATAACTTGTGCAGGTGAAAAGGACGGTGTAATCCCATCAAGATAATATTATTTCCAAGTTGGCATTATGAAGTGGATGAATGTTTGATCGGAAAGTGGCGATATCCTAAGATGTATTTTCAGTAGGTAATCCATATCGCAATGTGAGAACGGCACGGAGAAGAGTCGGAGATGCTTGGACTTGAAATCCGACCTCGGGCGGGGTACCGTTGTATACGTATCCGTACGTAAGTATCAGCTACATATATTACTCCGTGGAAGCCACCAGTTTCAAGTGTTGTCTACTTCTTGTGTTCTGAAGGAGGTAACCTGTAATGTGCGGTGGACAAGCGAACGTTTTCTTTTGCTGCTTGCCGCTTCGCCGCTTCGGTGACCACAATCATTACCTAAGAACGGATACGGACGTTCCCCGCACTAGTCCTAAACAGGAAGCATGTAAATATTTGGATGGAAGGAACAATCGTGACCAGATGAAAATCAATGGAAGGTGCAACTCGTTATCGTTGATTGCTGTTGCACATATTATCCTCCTGGCGCGCCATCTCAAGATACCTGGACAGTCCTTCTCCGTACCTTCCCGAATTCCAAAGTCCACATTCTTTTCTTTCTTTCTCCTCATCACCCTCACCAACATCACCAACATCACCACCAACATCATCACCAACATCATCACCAACGACGCGACATGACATGACCTGGTCGAGATATTGAACTCTTCGGGTGGAATCTAAGCCTGTGTCTTCTCTCGGGACGCCCTAATCATTAATCAGAAGTCACTCGATGAACTATCCCTGACACGTCTTGAGGTTCTCACCAACAGGCGCGATGCATGTCACACCGGCATTCAAGTGTGAGCCCGTCCATCTGGAATCACCTCACCCTTCACTCCCCGCCCTGCCACTACCTCCTTCTTTTCACCAGAACTTCTTTCACCAACCATGTCTAACGCGGGGCGTCTGTGTTCCAGCTTCGCCTCACTGTGCTCCGAGCCCGAACGGATCATTTGTTGCAACGCTGTTTCCGTCCAAAATACAGATCCGGTCTGTTCAGAGCCTTGAGACGGTCTCTGAAGTTCTTCTACCTCCCGACGTGACTGGGCCTGCATCTACTTTGCAGTGGTCCCCTACTTCTTCTAGGCTCCTCGTTGCTCTTGCCGACCAGGTTCATGTCTTTTCAGCTCTCGATGACGGTTTCCGTGCCACCATCCGCCTTCCAGCCTCGGGGACCTCCAAGCCGACACTCGTCCAGTTTGGGGCAAGTGATACAGAGGTCTGCGTCTGTTTTCAGTTTGGTCGCACGTTCACCGTATTCAATCTCGTCTCTTCCAAATCCGTTGAGATCAGCAACCCCAAGTTTCACCACGCGTCTTCCGCTCCACGGGGCTTCGCCTTTCGACCTGGTTCCCGGCACCTGGCCTTGATGACCCGAGCTACTGGAAAGGATGTCGTCAGCATACACCACCCAGTCACACGTGACGTAGAAAGGTCATGGCACCCGGATACCATTGACGCTCAAGGCCTCGTCTGGACTCCGGATGGCCGCTGGCTAGTAATATGGGAGTCTGCATCGCAGGGCCGTAAGGTGTTGTTTTACACACCCGATGGTCATCTCTTCAAAGTGTGGTCTGGGCCTTCTGGATTTCTCGCCGACGAGAAGGACTACGATTTAGGAGCCGGCGTTAAATTCTGCCAATCCAGCCCAGATGCACGTCGTATCGCCATTGGTGACCATACCTGCAACGTTTATATCCTCGATGCGGGTGCCGTTACCGAGGCTTCGAGGCTGCGCCACCCTTCGGTTATTTCCCCAAAAGATACAATCCAGGTAGGTACCCTAACGAAACAGCACTCGGAGAGGACAGAGAGACGGTCAGAGGCATTTGGCAGTGCGCAGCAAGCTGATAAGGCGTAGATTTGGCAGGAACAGATTGGGCCCGGCCCGTCGGGTCCCTCCACACATGCATTCGTCCGAGCCAAGCAAACCGTGTCTGCCCCAACTTTCCAACCAAGTGGCAGTGGCACGGAACTTGAGGTAGGCTGTGCCTCAGCAGCGTTCGATTCGTCGTCATCTCTTTTAGCCACAAAACTGGAGGAAGCCCCCAGTACCATCTGGATCTGGGATCTCGTCTCCTCCGAGCTCCGAGCCGTCCTTATATTTCACGCTAGCATCTCAGACTTCTCTTGGCATCCAGATATGCGCGAGCTTCTGATGATTCGCTGCGAGGGTGACAGCTACAGTGGCCTACTGTTTGTGTGGGACCCGTTATGGGAAGGGCCCAGAACCCTGGACTTCGGGTCGCACATGCCCGACTCCAAGATTGGCGGCAAAACACAATCGTCATGGGTCACTTGGCCGGGCCAGCCTGCAGTGTTGTTTTTTGGGAACACGAGACACTACATGATCGCGACGCCTGCACGATCGGAAGAAACGCCTGCACCGTGGCAGGATTTCCAAATCGGAGACCGAAGCCTTGGCAAGAGGAAAATCGAGTCTCCTTCCCCCAGGCAAGGCGGTGGGACTGATGGTTTATTCCCACTTAACGACGAGCTGTCTTGCGTCGATGACACCTTCTCATTCAAGAAGTGACGAGAGAGGAGCAAGCATACCTGCGCCCTCCACCTCGTCTTTTTGCGACAAGCCACCCAGCCAGGACATGGTACGTCTGCGCCATTCAGCTGCGCCGTACGTACGGCGAGTGCTCAGCGGGCCGCGGAAGACAACGTCACAGCCGTAGAGAAATGGGATGCATCTCCTTCGCTCTGGAAGGACATGTGGTCTGTACTCTGATGTTGGCACCCTGCAATTCTCTTTCATGCGCGGCGCGTGGTGGGCCACTCGGATGTTTACCATGTTTACCATGGGGGCCTCTGTGGTGGTTGCAAAAGCGTCATCATGGTCCAACACTTCAACCGACATGTTTCAGTCTTAGCGAGAGAGGAAGCAAACGCGCATGGCGCATACTTAACCCACCCCCCTCCCCCCCGAGGGGTCACCAACCTGGCAAGGAGGCGGATAAGCATTGGTGCCTGTTCTCATGGATGCGCATCAAGAGGAGAGATTAGCGACGCATATGGTCCGTCTTTCACATTAACTTGCCCAGATGTTTCCGGGCTTCCGTCTCCCTCGAATTCACTTCTTCTCCACTCTCGTCGTTGGCGCTGGACTCGAGCTGAAAACACTTCCGAGGCGGTTGTCTTGAAGTCAGCCAAGGTCCTTGGGAGGCCGGGCGCTGGCAACCTGGCGATGGCCTGCTTTAGCTTCCCCGGGCTGGACAAAGTTAGCCCACATCTATTCTTACGAAGTAGGGTCCGTTCAACCCCTCTCACTCTGCAGCCATGCACCACCCACGCACACACCATACACACATGCACATGCAACATGGATATATGTACGGACCCACATTATCACTGCCATATGCGCACCCTCCAGGTCGGTTAAGCGGCGAGTCTCATCAAAATGACGATTCTTGAGGCATCGGAGAACTGGGGGCTATTGAATTATGTTAACGAGTTCGGCAATGGTGGCTACATTCTCGAAGTCAAGGCAAACAACACTTGAACATTCTGGACCGATGGGCCAACCGACCGGCGGACGGATACGGAGCTTTGACAGGCCCGGTGCAGTGCGGCATCTCCAAAGGGAATGCGAACTGTTGGTGAGAGATGGCCACTTGTTGATACACCTCGATCACTACTCTCGGAACGAGGTTCAATGGGCATTAACCACCAGGGCCTGGACAGCTCTAAGCAGTACGTATGAGATGAACCACTTCCAGCTCCGTAGCTGTTATGGTGGTGGTCAACTTGCCCAATAGGCTGTGCTTTCTCTACAGGCCGGGGAGTGCAGAGGCTCCCGCGTGGAGTGCTGCAAGCAGCAAAACAAGGTGATTAAGCGTTATCGCGCCATCACTGAATGAGAGTGGTTTTCGGCATGATTGAAGTCAGGGTCCGAGGCTGATGGGTCATCCTGATGGCGAATCACTACCATTGAGCCCCGGCGGAGCCATCTAAAAAGCATGCGAGGGGGTAGTGTATGCCTTGCTCGCTTCCCTATTCCCCTCAACTACTCACCATAATCTTGGTCAACCGACTAGTGCACATCATCAAGCCTATTTGTCTGCTCCTTCGACTTTCCTAAACCAGTTCTCTTCGCCTTCTCGGCATAGAGTCTGCCAGGTTGTTGGCGGCATTACTTCGTTAACACCTCATTCTTCCCAACAACGTACGAGGCAAGGGTCCTGACGAGACAAGATGTCATCGAGGTCGGCGAAAAGCATTTTACGCGACGTAGAACCAGGTTGTAAGACCGGTTTGTATTATATTACCATTGCCAATGTTCGTCAACTTCCCTGCAGAGCTTGAGGTGCTCAGACCTGACACGGCGTATCAGCTTCCCTTTATGACCAATTGGCGCGAAATCAAAGACTGGCTCCAGTGCTGCTGCGCTGTTGAACATGTTGAGATATTCAATAGCAGCACTTCGGGCTGGGTCAGGGTCAAGGGGGAAGAGAACTTCCTTCGGGCATGGGGTAGGTTCATAACACAATCATAACACAAACACACAATGCAATGCAATGGGTCCAGGGCACGCACATACTGACAGGAAAATGCAGCTCTGCTGAATCAAGGTGAATTCGGCGGGAGAAGCATTATTGCTGATGGTCGCAATGCAACGGAACGAATCAAGATCAAGGACCTCGTCGATGCAACCCAAAAGCCAGCACCTCAGTTTCAAACCACATCCGCCTTAAATTCTCCCTCGTACTCTGGTCGGGTACGTGTTTTGGGGGGGGAAACCTCGTTCTGTAAACTTCAAATCAGCTTGGATATTAACAAAAGTGTAGTGGTCAGCTGGCACCGAGCCTGCACCTGCCGTTGGTAGCCCATTCGTTCAGCCGCCTGCCTTTGGATATGGGGCTACGCCGCCGGCTTTTTATTCTCCCACAGAGGCAGCTGCAGCTCATCCAACCGCCGCTACCTCGAGATACCAATACGAGAACCTGGATACTCGAGCCCAGGTTGACTATGGGCATGGGGCATACTCGCCTTCCTCACAGTATAACGTACAGGGACATGCTGAGAGCGAAATGCCTGGGCCGTACGATCATTCGGACCAATGGTCAGCAGCGGACCAGCGGAGGATTCTCATCACGCACCTCGGTCACAACACTTCGGAGGACCAGGTCCGCAAGATGGTCAAAAGCTCAGCGAGGAAGCTAACCACGGACAAAAGCCAACTGCAGCACATAGACTTCCCACGGGCGCGGGATGGTCGGCTACGTGGCCATGTATATGTGACATTCAAGAGCCGCGACATGGCTGAAAAAGTGGCCGACGATTTGAATGGAAGGCCATTTCAACGACAACACCTGGAAGCAAGGCTTATAGGTGACAGTGCTCGTGAGCCACCTTACGATTTTCCTCCTCAGAAAAAGGCCAAGGAGGAAAAGAGCCTGGACAAGCGCAAAGATCGGTGCAGCAAAAGGGGAAAGGAGAAGAAAGAAGTCACCAAAAGCAGGGGGAGGGACAACGAGGGTTTGCAGCAGTCGACATATGAGCTGTTCGACAAATTGGCACTGGACGACCGGGACTGGGCCGAGGGTCATGGAAGACAACGAATCCAGCCTGTCATTGCCGACGGATCCAGCCGGTGGTCAAGATCGCCCGACAGCCAACGATTCGGGGGCTCAGGGTCTGATTTCTAACTTCGAGTTGGGCCGGTTTCTGTTCTCGTCATCAAGGTCTATATGTATCCAGCTATTTATTGTTCCTGCTCTGTTTTCGGATCACCCAAGTCAAGCCCCGTCAGCCCCGGTCAGCAGGCTTGCCGCTACGTTGTTGCCGCCCTTTTGGGGCGGAGTTGATTAGAAAACACCAGAGAACAAGATGCCACAAATCTGACAAAACACGGCGATGAAATGGAGGGTTTTGACGTCAAATTCCGTCCACGACTGACGCGCCGAGACCGAGCAGTGATACCTGTGCAGCCATCCTCGACAGGATATATAGCAACGACATGACGAGCGCAGGGCTTCGCTTTGGACTTAGGGTAGGCTGCTTACACAGCCAAGCTTTTTGAGTGGCCGCCTGTAGGGTGTAAGGACAAGCATGGCAATACTAAGGGGGTTCCTTGCACATGGTGTGTGCAGTGGCACCGACTCGAGGAACAACGCGGGTGACCTTCGATCATTTTCCAGTCTTTCTGCTTCTGTCTCCGTGCATCAGATGGGTTCCCTTTTCGGATATTCTTTCCTTGGTGCGGGTTATCCCTGAAAGGTTTGTGTCAGGAGCCGGGGTCCTCCTTCTTAGGTATACTCCTACCTGCTGTGCAACTTCTTTCCACTTACGTATATATATAGAGACCGGTGAACGCCCATTGGCGCATGGCCTTTGAGACGAGCAGAGCGCACATACCATACGCATGCGGGTGCTACGCTATATCACACGGGCCCAAGCTCCGAGTTCTTCCACCGTCGGTGCACCCAACTTCGATCCACGCACTGTACCGGCATGGTCCTGCATCTAGCAGAGACGGCGAAAGGTCATCTTGGGTTCCCCCCATCGCTGCCGTCCTCCCAAACATTCCGATTCACAACCGTCACTGAAAACCAGGGGCAGACCAAGATTCTCTTGGATTTCCTCGTCTCCCTCTCTTTCTCCCCCTCCCTCTCTCTCCCTCCCCACCTCGGAGAAGCAAAAATGTGACGGACTTCTCTGCCCCAGTGTTAGGGGTCTGAGCTCAGTAGCCGCAGCACGGGGAACGACGGAATAAAACGTCAGGATTCCCCTGGGCGCACCAGGGAACACGGTGCGGCAGCTGAATGCGCCTTCATTGGCGGGTTTGACTGGCCTGCCCAGCCGGAAACCTATTTTGGCTTCCGCCACTTCTCGCATCAGCCAGCATACTCACCATCTAGATACGCGTTGCAAAAGCACACTATCCCTCTTCAGGCCACAGGCTAATCGTAGCCTGACGTGACGGGTGACGTGGTAAGACGTGGTGTAAGATAGGGAAGCTTGGAAGACGTTGACAAGTCTGGAACGGGCCGACCCTAGGGTTCCCCTGGTGGTCCAGGCTTGACTTGTTTCTTTTTTCTGTTCTTTGGTTTTTTTTTTCTCCTTTCAAGCTAGTGGTCTATTCACTGCGGGACGGGAGAGCCCATGTGTGCTGGGTCTCGGCTTGACAGTCTAGACACAACTTAGGAGTGGTTGCGTGGTCCATCATCACAGGCGCGCGCTGATATATATCCATACATACATACATACATACATGCACACCCTTCCTTTCTGCATGGAGGTCCTGAATGGGTGGCCGTCTGGTCTTTTTCGTCATTGTCGCGGTGGGAGGTAGCACAAGAGCCTGAGCACTGACTCTCGAATATGGAAAGTGGGCATGAGTTGTCGGCAAATCAGGGTCTCCATGTCCTGAGGCGGGGGGGCCTCGGGGGGACAGGAGACCAATGATAATAAGGAGGAGGGACGTATGGTATGTCCTCTCCGGTCAGCCGTGACGGTGCTCAGCCATGATGGTGCTTAGGTAGTCGTTATGGGTGTGCCACTGCGCTGCTGATCCGGCATGGCTCCGGTTTCCTGCACTCGATGGCGTTCGTGCGTCATTAAGGTATGCTTTGTCTCCCCCATGAAGGCTAATTAAATGATATATTCACAATGCAATGTCCATCTGCGGGAGGGAGAGCCAAACGCTCGAACCATGCCCGCCAACCGCCAACCGCCAACCGCCAACCCCCCCAACCCCCAACCCCCCCCCGACACACTATCGTTCCTGTGCCAGGTCCTACGGACTCCCAAAGTTCATCTTGAGCTCGATGGTTGGATGGCCACCGTTGCTAGCACCGGCGCCACCGCCTACGGTCCGCTCTACCGCGCCGGCCGCATCCCGGCCCGCCCGAATCACTTCCTCCAAGAAGGCCTTCTGCCCATCGCTCATACCCCCCAGGACGGCCTTGAAGGCAGCCTGGTCTGCGCTCGCCAGTTCGAGGAGCCGGGTGCTCGTCTCCCGGTAGGTTTCCCTGCCCTCGGCTGACGCCCGCGCCAGGAGGGTGGGTATCACCAGCGCCATGCCGGCCATAACACGGTCTCGGGTTTCTCCGGTGGTGGTGGTGGCGGTGGCGGTAGTGGTGGCGGAAGCAGCAGCACTGGCAGCTGAGGAGGAGGAGGAGGAGGAGAAGGAGGAGGCCATAGTGACGAGATGCTGCGTTAGCGTGCCGCAGACCAGGCCGCGGGCATCTTCCGGGTCCTCCGGGTCCGTGTTGGTAACGAAGGTGATGAGGCGTGGCAGGAGGTAGCGGGCCATGGTCTGGTCGGCACGCGTGGGTTTCGGCTGGAGCAGCAGCGATTTGATGCAGTTTGCTGCGATCTTGGCGGTCTGGAGATGAAAAGTAAGACACGGTCAGCCCTCGGCTCATCCCTGTCAGCCTCCCAGAAAAGGAAGATGACCGGTGGGAGTTGATTTTCCAGGAAAACAGACAAGAAAAAAAAAGCGAAAAAAAAGGCATGCAAACAAATCAAAGCTGCCCACAATAGGTTCGAAACGGGGACAAAAAAAAAAAGGGGGGGGGGGGGGAGGGGTTGGGCAAAGTATGCCAGCAACGTACCATTCGATCCGTGAGGCAGTCGATCAACTCATCAAGATATCGTGCGACCAACGGCTCACTCGCACCGAGCTGATTCTGGCCTCCGGTAAACAAAATAGTAATAGCAAGCAAGCAGTTCTTCACACAGCTAAGGGAGGTAGCTGCTTCCCGCTTCTGCGCGTTGAGGTAGATGGACAAGAAGCGTCGAAGGCATGCCTGAAGCTGTACATCCGTCACGGATCCGCCTTCTTGTTCGCCCGTTGCGCGAGATCTGGACATGCTAGAGATGAACCGCTTCAAGGTCGGCAGTGACTGGGCGACGACAACTTGCTGACAGGACGGCGTGGCGAGGACAGTGGAGAAGATGTGAATGATGCATGCGTGGAGGTCGGTCTTGATGATGGCGGGGAAGACCTCGGCCGCGTCGACCAGGGCGTCCACCGAGGACCGGATGAGCAGGATGGCCTCGTCCGTGGTCTGGAACCTAGTCGGCTGAGGTTCGGGCGAGAGGTTGGGCAGCAGGCCGGAGAGCACGAGCACGCTGATCCGAGTCAGCTCGAAGAGTTGTTCAATGTCGTCAGAGAGGTCGCCGTCGTCATCGGCCGCGTCTTTCTTCCTCGCCGAAGGATGAGAAACGCAAAGAGCTTTGGCTATATCTACAATGACACCTTGCACGTCAAGACCCTCGGTTAGGACCAAGCGGTCTAGAAGTTCCATCAGTTCAGAGAAGATGGCTTCGCGATAGATGGCGTGGCCGGAGACGCTCGGGTGGAGGATTTTCTTGAGCGCTTGTAGGATGGCCAAGGTCTGTTCCTGCGTCGCCAAGGTGTCCGGCTGGCTCGAACGGGTTGCTAACGCCTCGAATGCAATGCCGAAGAGGACGAAGAAGAAAGCCACCGGCTCGTCGCGGTAGTTTATATCCGGTCCCTTGCCATGGCCGTGGCCGTTAGTCGATGGCGCATCGGACCCCTTGCCATCAAGGGCGTCGAAGACGAATTCGCTGTCTTGCTCGATGAGACTCGCGATCGCGTCCACTAGCTTCAGCCAAGACTCTTGGTAAAACTTGAGGAGCGTCTCACGGTTGAGCGCCGCATATATGGTATCGAGACTGCCGGTGAGGGACGGCGGCCCTAGTGTCATCGAAATATCAGGCTCGAAGCGAAGCCGCGCGAATTCTCGCAGGGACTCGAGCCACAGCGGCGTGAGGGTGCCGATGTGAGGCTTGAGGACGTCAACGAGGTACTTTTGCTCCGAGCTGGCGACCTGGAGCTCTGCCCACGCCGAGAAGACGGACATCTTGACCATGACCTGGGCGTTAGAACTCAGTCCCTTCAGATCGCCGATGCCGGCGTTTTCGCTGTTCCGGGAAAAGTTCTCCAAGGCCGTGACCAGTGTTTTCAGGATACGGCCCATCCTGTCAACATCCGTGACGATACCCGTGGAAATAAAGCCGGCGCAAACATTCACAGCTTCGGACGCGAGTTCGGGGGATGAATCAGCGGCGAAAGCCGGAGTCAGGGCGGAGCTGATTTGTGCTTGATACTGCTCCAACAGCATGGCCTCCTCAAAGTCCGGGTCGGGAGTGCGTCCGAACATCTTCAAAACGTCTCCTATGATCTTCAACCCCCAGATTCGAAGCTCCAGCACGCTCGACGTGGAGGCGGAGAAGGCCATCTTGACGACATCACCCACTTTGCCCTGCAGTGCCGCTTGGGCAGGGGAGTCGCCGCGCGTCGCGACGTCTTTGTTGACAAGGGTAAATAGCTCACTGATGAGGCTGACCGCGAACGTCGTCACCTGCCAACGGAGCGGCTCGACTTCGGAGGCCGTCTTGGTATCCGAATCGTCCTTGGGGGCTCCTGAAGCGGCTGCGAAGCCAGCGACCTCTTCGTCCTGCAGATCCGGCAACCCGCCCGACTTGGCAGCCGCCGAGTCCGACTCGTCCTTTGGTTTTGCCCTCGTCATCTTCAGCACGCTTTGGATCTTTTGGAGCCATGATTCCGTTTCGGTCAACGAGGTCTGCTTGAGCCAGTTGAGAATGATGTTCCGGATGCCGTCGTGCGAGGGGACGGTGTCCAGGACGAGCCAGAGTTCATCCTCAAACCCATTGTCCGCAGCTTGGACGACGTCCAGAGGATCCCGCTTCATCATGTTGTGGAGTCCATCGATGGCCACATCGCGGAGCGCTGCGTCCTCCGAGTTGAGGTATCGGTGTAGTGTCTTGACGTAACTTTCGAATTCCATGTAGCCCGGGGCATACAACGACAGATGCTCCAGGCAGCCCAAGCTTTCTCGCTGTACCAGGACGTCCTCCTCATCCTGGAACTGGCCCACCAAGCTGAGTATCAGTTCCCTTGACTTGGTCGAATCCTGCAAGTCGGGGCCGAGGACGTTGATCAGGGAGTCGACGCAACGGACGATGGCTGCGGTCGTGGACGATTCCATCTCCAGGTTCATGGTCACCGGCGAGGAGATTTCGGGGTTGTGCGTATCCGAGACGTAGAGCTGCACGAGCATGCCCAGTGTGCCCGGGACGTAGCTCGAGAAGCTGAGGCCGGCGGCATCGGCGGAGAGAGCGAGGGCCTCCAAGGCCCAGTAATGGACCACGGGGTGCGGGTCGCTGCCAAGAGACATGAGGACGCTGAGAACCGTCTTGAGGTGATAACCAGCAGCCATGCCCCCAACCTGCTTCTGGATAGCCCCCATCGCCATGGCGCACCCGGCTCTTGCGCTCGGTTCCCTGTTGGCGACGATGGTGTCGACAAGGTGCTTGATCTCCTGGTTGGTGAATGCATTGCCACACGCGTCGCAGAGCCTGGCCACGGCGGCGTAGCCAATGCTCCGCACATACTGATCTTCGTCGATGACAAAGTCCCGAAGCATATCCTGTAGGAGCCTCTCCACCGCCATATTGGAGACATCGCCGGAAGGAGCCCCGGTCTCCTTCGTGGCAACCCGAAGCGTCGAGAGGACCGCAAGTGATACGTTGACGTTCATCGCAGCTCTCCTCCCAGGATCCCTCTGCAAAGATCCTGCGGACATGAACGTCTTGATCTGCTCGAGTACGCTTTCTTGCACCTTGGAAGGCGTGAGCGGAAAGACAAATGCGAATAGCTGTATGGCCATGTTGATAACCTCGGTAGCTGGCGGATCTGGAGCCTCTGGCCCCGGGGCAGAATCGCCAACGTAAAGGAGGGAGGCGTCATGCTCCAAGGTGCCGCAGATAGGGCTGAGGAGAAGCCTGTCAATGGTGTCTTCCGGGCTATTGTCCTGGGGCAGCGTGTCTTCCATGGATGATTCATGCTGACCGGGCAGGGGCCGGACGTTGAAGCCGGACACAAGGCCCGTGATACCAAACCCGGAGTTGTCGCCCACGTCCCAGATCGTGTCGAAGGTGGCGGCAGCGTTCGCAATGGATGCACTGAGCGAGGCACTGGGGGCGTAGTTCTCGGGATCCGCGAACAAGGAGATGGCCAGGGTGAGCAGATTCGACTGCAGGAGCGCCTCGCTACCACCCGCCGGGCTCAGATTTACCAGTTTGGTGTAACACTGCAGGACTCGGCGCTGCACCATCATGTCCAGATCCTGGAGCTGCAGTGCCGGGGCCAGCCTCTGCGCAACGTCCTCTGACGTTTTCTTGGCAGGCAGAGAGCGCAGGAAGGCCGTCGTATTCTGAAGCATGGTGGCTATGCGCTTCGAAACGTCGACGGTGAGCAGCCGACTGTTGTATTGCAGAAAGGCCAGGATGGAGCCGAGGGCGCACTCGCGAACATGCGTCAAAAAGGAGGCCTCCAAGAAGCTGCGATGAGCCGTGTTGTCCTTGGAGAGAGGTTTGGGTAGGGCATTCTTCCAAAGCAAGAGGAGTTGAGAAAGGTGAATCTTGACAAAGTTGGGCCCCAGAGACATCAGGCCGCCGATCATGATCCATGCCACCTGGATCTGAGTGCTGGAGACCCGAAGCTCGGACTGCCCGCTGGACTTGAGTAAGTTGGTCGCCATGGTCAGCACGCGACTGTTGACGTCGACGGAGCCATAGAGGGGGCGTGAAGGGCTGGCACTGAGCGTCGCGGCAAGTCCATGGGCGTATCCTATACAGCGTCTGGGCGAGTTCCGGCCATTGGTCAACTGCGACAGTTCTCGGTTGAGGCTGTTCATGCAAACGGACAGACAAGGTAGCAGCTGTTGAGGACAGGCAAGCACCAGAGCCTTCATGCAAGCCGATGCATGGACCTGGACGGAGTAGCTCGGATGCTGAAGAATACCGAGGAGGCCGTCTCGGCAGGACTCTGCGAAGCTGTATGCCGCCGAGCCCAGGCTTCCGACGAGGGAGCCCACCACGCCCAGTGAGATGATCAAGGTCTGCTTAGACGGCTCGGGTCTCTCAGGTAGCGCTTGGGGATAATTCTTAAGAATGTCCGTGATGAGGGCTTTGGCCACTGAAGTCTGACCGGCCTCGCCAAGAATCTTCTTGTTGATGACGTCTTGGAGGATCGTCTCCACGATGCGTCTCGAAATCAGCAGTCGATATTTGTTATTGGTGATAGTGGGCTGGCCAAGAAGGTCGACGGACAGATTGTCGACAATCCTCAGGAAATTGGGTCCCACGACCTTCTCGCCCAGCTTCTTGAAGAGCTTGGCGTAGCACACCCCAATTGCGGCCCTCGCCCTGTTCGACGTGGATAGCTTCGTATAATGGGTAGATAGGATCTTCAGGATGTCCGATAGCGACAGGGCGAGATGCTGCGTCTTTTTACCGCCAGGGGCGGGACTCCCAGGTCTCGAGGTGGGCAGCTCATCCTCGTCGGCAAGATTGCTAGGCATCGTGCTGGCTCGTCGTAGCGCTTTGGATTTCGGTTTCTTCGCCTTGGACGAGGCGGCATCGCCCGGGAGACCCGTCTCGGAGTAGCCCCGGAGCATGGCCTCAGCGAGGGTCTCTGCAGCAGCATGCCTGACCTGCCTAGAGGGGGAGTCGATGATCTTGAAGACGGCAGCCTGCAACTTGTCGAAGTCGCCAGAATTGTCAAAGTAGGGCGTGTGTCGTACAAGGGCTTTCAAACAGCGGCACGCAGACACGACGACCAGCGAGCCCTTGTCGCTTGTCGCGAAGCTCCTGGACTGTTTCCACATGTCCCTCGTAATCGTCTCGTCCATACTGGTCCGTACCATGGAGACAAGCTTGCCGAGAGAGAGAAACACGGCGGCCCTCAAGCCCGCATTGTTCCAAGAGGCCTTGAGAAGCTTCAGCATAGAGGTACATGCCAACGGATGGAGGCCAATGGCGCTGTCACCAGCCGCCGCAAAGACGTCTCCTAGGCATGTGACAGCAGCATGCTTGGCTCGCTGAGAGGCCTCCGTTTTCCCCTTCCCGCCAGCAAGTATGGATATGAGATCGTTGACGGTCTCGAAGAGCAGCTTTCGGTCTCCTATTCCCAAGATATGCGCCAGGCACCGACCTAGGTTGTTGCGGATCACTCGAGTGGGTTGCGGCGATGTCAGGGTAAGGATCTGGAAGATTTCTTTCTTGATATACATTTGCTGCGCCGTGCAGTCGTCTGGAGAGAGGGCCAAGACATGTTTCGTCAGTGCCGACACGTGGGTAAAGAGGAAGAGTTGTTGCTGGTCGGTGGCTAGAGACTGGAGCTTAGGGAGGTCCAGCTCGGGGTTGGCTGAGACGCTGGCATCGTGGGCTGGCGCTGGGGGGGCTTGCGACGTAACACCCGCGCCGTTCGACCCGTTGTGAGCTTCAGAGAGCTCTGTCGACGACATAGGTGAGGAGAGGGAGGTTTTTTTGTCGTCGGGATGGATGGAAGGGCTGTTATAGAAATTAGGTATGTTGGTGGGTGAACCATCTAAAGGCGGTAGGTACAGATGGATGGATACCTACCTTATTGAACTTGGAAACGTTATGTTCTGCTCACCGGTCGGGTGTTCTTGAACGTCTGCCAATTCACGTGAACTTAGTCATGACTGTATGGCTTATGTCAGCCGAATGTTTCATGGACCTGGGTGGCTGGAGCACTGCCCGTTATTGCCGGAGCCGATCTCCGGCCCGTTGAGCCCCACTCTTTTCTCTACACGTGTACCGACCTCGAGAAGCTGCCATCAACGAAGCAAGTTGACCCAATCTAGCACCCATCTTCGTACTTCTCAACAACCCAGCTATGCGCCGGCTAGCAAGCCTTCTCCCATCAATAACGGCGCGCGGCCTACCAAGTAGACCAAGTCGACCAGCTCGCGTGCTATGCCAACAATGTCTCCGTCCCCTTTCGACAACACAGAATGCATCGGCCGGTCACAACAAGTGGTCCAAGATCCGGCACCGCAAGGGCGCAGCCGACGTGCAGAAGGGTATCCTGCGCGTGCAACACTCCAAGATGATCGCCCTGCAATCTAGATGTCGGTTCCCTCTTTCGAACTCCATTCTTCGGTCGCCTCGTCGTGTATTCTCCCGGCGCTAACCAGGAATTTTTTTTGATTTCTTTTTTGCAGTACATGGACTCCATAGCGCTCAGTTGGCCACCGCAGTAGCCGCCGCCAAGAAAGGTATCTGAAGAAAACGAGACCGAATCAAACAACACACATCTCTCCCCGCCACCGCCCCCAAAACGACGAAAGCAAAAACGGGCGTCCAGGGACTAACCTCCCAGCACCACATTCGCAGCCGGTGTACCCAAGAACCTCATCGAAAGCGCCGTCGCACGCGGGCAAGGCCGGTCCGCGACGGGGACCGCCCTCGACACCCTGACACTCGAGGTCATCATGCCTCCCGGCGTGGCCCTGATCGTGGACATCGAGACGGACAGCCGGCTGCGCAGCCTCGAGCACCTCAAGCACCTGGTCAAGACGCACAAGGGCCGCGTCGGCTCGTCGGCGGCCTTCCTCTTCACGCGCCGAGGGCGCGTCGTCTTCGATGCGACAGCTGGCCCGAGTCCGAGTCCGAGCCCGAGCCTCGACGACGTCATGGAGGACGCCATCGAGGCCGGGGCCGAGGACCTCGAGACCGATCCGGACGGGAACGTCGTGGTGTGGACGCAGCCCAGCATGACTGCCGACGTCATGGAACGCTTGGCCCCGCGCTTCGGCGGGCGCGTTCTGAGCTCCGAGATTGTTTGGGACGCGAACGAGGAGACCAAGGTCAAGGTCGACTCCGCGGGCGATGCGCAGGCCTTGGGGGATCTGCTGGCTGCGCTGCAGGAGTCTCCTGAGGTGCAGGCTGTGTATGCGAATGCCGCGAAGGGGACTATATCTGATGAGGAGTGGTCCTGTATCAAAGACAGCATAGATTCGTAGGTCTCCACGCATGGGTGATATCGATGTGTATCTCTTTTATCTTATAAAAAAACATATATTCGCCTTATGTACGGTACCTATAGTTAGACGAGCCCGCAGCTGCCAAATGAGCGGTGTGTCGGCAATGTATTCTTTTAAACCAGCATCATAACGCCCGCCATATCCCATCCTGTGACTTCGTCCCAGATCCAGTTTGCTCCCTTCTCCCTCTCGTTCAAATGCCCAAGTACTCGTATAGTACATGTCTCATCGTACACAACCCTCGCGGGCCGCTTTCCGCAAGGGGCCACTGTTCACTCAATATATATGATGGTGTAACAGCCCACTCGATTTTCAATAGCCGTCGAATTCCGTCGCCAAAAAAAAAAAAAACGCCTATCGTCGTCCCCACGCTCGATTCGCATCGTTTGTCTTCGCAACTGTCCATGTCGACCAACGGGCGGGGACTCTCTGCCCGCAGTTCGACTATTCATTGTCCTGCTGCTGATTCTGCTGCCCCTCTCGACCCGCCTTCAGTCGTTCAAACTCGCGTTGGCGCCGTAGCAAGCGGGCATATTCGGCTTTCATTTCGTCGCGGTCGAACGGGATCTTGTGTGAGTGCTCCGCCTTGGGCCAGAACCCTTGCACGGAGAACCTGTCGTCTAAGTTCGTCCCAAAGTAAAACATGATCCCAATGGGGAACATGAGATACATGCCGAACTGCATGGATAGGACAGGTCAGGTAAAAGGTTGACTTCGACTCGATACCCCGCGCCGAGGGAAGACGGTGGATGAAGGGTCCAGCAAAGACCTTAAGACCTTACCTTGAAAACTTCGAGATTAATGCCCATTTTTGCAATATATACTCTCCCAAATGGCCACGCTAATAAGGGGTGATTTCGTCGTGCCGTGGAGGGAGTGCTCAGTGAAACAATAACTACGCCCAAGGTATGAAAGTCGCATGCTCTGATGGAGGACTCGAAGAATCGGCTCATCGGACTTCCCAGAGCTTCTGGGGATCTCTGCTCTGTCCAATCGGAACGTCCCGGCTCGGCGGTCTTCGGCATAATATTGTTCCTCCGGTCTACGCATCCAAAGTCGTCCATTTCGCGAATCTCTCAATCTTTGTGGTCCTTGATGGCACATAAAATAACCATTGTGTATGAAGTAAATAATATCATTTCGTTTGGGAGATAATATGACGATTTAAAAAAAAATCATATTATTTTGTTAAAACCACAAATATTTTTAGAGAGAATTTACACCGAGACGCCTTTCAATGAATACCTTGAAACATGCGTCCCTGTGTTCGTGTACCAACAACGTTCAGAACCTGAAATTGAAAATCAGTCAACCGTGCGGACCCAAGAGCCTAATGAGGCGTATACGGATATATACCGACCTATCCCATAAACCACCCCCTCTACACCTTCAGATCCCACTACTATCCAAGTCTCCGGGATATTCCAAATCCTTTGAGCAAACCTATCCACACAAGTGCCTGAAGGTTGTGCACTATTCTTTTTTTTAAGCTCCAGTACCGACAAGAAAAAAGGTAAATGTTGTACAGCAAGTACGAGATGAGACGCTGTAGAAATATGCGCCAATATTATGATCGCCCCTGAGCAGCAGCGCGTCGCTGGGCCTGCGCATCCTCCATCAACATGCGCTCCGTCAGGCTTCGAGGAGTACCGGAGTATAGCGCTTGGCCCACGCTAGCGCGATAGCTAGCCAGATCGCCCTCATCGGCCCCCGTGCTCCCGTCGAGCCCTCCGACAAAGGTATTGACGTCCCCGAGGGATGCAGCTTGGGCGTACACTTCGGGGTTCGTGACGACGGATACCGTCACGGGCCGTCCTTTGAAGGAGCCCACGGTTCCGTACGTCAGATGCGTCGCCGCCGGCGTTTCTGGCTTGGCGATCGGCACCGACGGTGAGCTTGAGAGCGCTGTCGGGACGGGTTCGGGTTCTGGGGTGGTCGCTTCGTCTTCTTCCATCTCGTCCTGGACCGGCTCTGGTGCGCGTTGAGGTTTGGCCGGGGTTGCCCCCTCAAAGTCGAATATGCCCTCGTCCTCGTCATGCACAACGCTACTTATCAGCCCTGCGGTAGGTTTGGTGATCTCCCTTGGTGAGGCCGTGGATCGTGAAACTGATGTGGAAGCTGTACGCTCCAGGTCTGGCAAAGCAGGAGGGGTCGGTTGTTGTCTGAGGGGAGAAAGAGATCGGGGGGAGGCAATGCTTGATTTGTTAGCAGACGACTTCGGCTTCGCCATCGCCAGAAAGTCGTCGTCCGACGAGTCTCCATCATCGTAGTCATCCGCCGGGTCCTGTGGCTCAGGAGGGGGGGATTTCAACGGCTTCTTAGGGCGTCGAGGCGAAGATCCCGAATGCATCGGTGACTCCGGGAGGGAGCCCTTACTGGACCCAGGCGAAATGTTCCGAGGCGAATTCCTCTCGGAGGCAAGCTCGGGGGAGTCCGCATTGACGACTGTCCAGACGGTATTTGTGTCCAGAGGTGTCCTTGATAGCGCTCGGAGAGCCTGGGAGGAGGACACTTTCTTGGGCGGAGGCTCGCTTTCCTCGTCCGGGCCCAATATAGATTCGGCACTGACGGCATCTTCGTCAACTATAACCTCGTTTTCAGGAGGCGCAGCGCCAGCGCGGGAGAACGTCGACGGCAAGGAGTGAGATTGGATGAAAGAGACGTCGGAGGATTCCGGTGATGAGGTGGGCAAAACCTCGATTCCTTCAAACTCGAAGCGGACCCGGCGAGGGCTGAGAGGTCCCTTGGAACCGGTCGATGAGCGCCGCAAAGCACTGCGACGGCGCACACTGCTCTCGCCCTGCTCCGCCGTGCCGCATGAGCTGGTGTCGTCGGTTGTCCGGCGAGAAGGGGGTGGCCTAGATGAGGGATGGAGAGTCGCAGACGTTTGTGACTGGTTCTCTTTTGATCCGAGTTCCTTGTCCACCTCGCCCATATTGTCAGCTGGGGGGTGTATTGTCGCGTCAAGGGAGTCTCGAGAGCTGGACGGCGAGGCTGGCGACGGAGGGAAAAGTGGCATGGCCAGAGCGGGGCTGGCCTGTAAGAGCGGTAAGAAGGCCGGTGTAAAAAGGCCGTGTAGCTCTCTATCGCGGTCGGCAGTACTAGCTCGAGGGGAACCCGTCGAGGTTGACTTCGCAGCAGCGGCAGCGGCAGCGGCAGCGGCAGGGGTGATAGCGTGCGGCGTGGAAAAGGGCGAGTTGGCCGTGGGCGCTGCCAGCCATTCGGCGTCCGACAAGCTGTCGAGGGTAGACGCAGCAGCCGAAGCCGAAGCCGAAACGGAAGCGGACGCGGACGCGGACGCGGGGGCGGGAGATATTGCAGGAACGGTAGCGGCAGTGTCGGTATCGCTGTCGGTCTTGGACGGGAAAGGGGAGGAGGAGGAAGTTGACGGAGCGCGAGCGGTGTCGGTGCTGGCGGCGGTATCGGTACCGTTGCCGGTATCGGTGCCGAGGCTTAACGATGAGTCAGAGTCAGAGTAGGACACTGACTCTTGCAGGGCAGGCCCGACGGCGGGATACTGAGGAAGCAAGTCGGCCACAGCTATGTGGACACGGGCAGAAATGGCCTGGGGAACGTCTTTGAGGAGGTCGCGAGAGTATCGTGTGAACTCCAGGGCCATTTCTTGGCGGTAGGCAGCGACTTTGGAATCGAGGGAGGAGAGCTTCTGGTGCAAGTCTCCGATGAGCCGCGCCGCATCATCCATGTCGTTCAAAGGAGGATTCATCGACGAAATAGGCAGGCAAAACGGCTGCACACGAGGAGGCGACCGAGGACCTAGACAGCGGAGGGGAAGAGGAATGCCAATGGTCCGGATAGGTTCATGACGCAACCAGTCGCGGGAGGCCGATGCAGGTGCAGGGTTAATTCAGGGAGGAGATCAGCGGAAAGAGTGGGCGTGTGACGGGGGACGGATTTGGAATGGATGGCTGAAATATGCGGGTGTCGGGATAACAGCCGTGTGGACGCGTATCCGCTGGGTTAGACCGGCGTGAGCGTCGTGGAGGCGATGGGGCCGATACGGGGGCCCCAGCTTTTCAATATTTCAATACCCGTTGCCGTTATTTTTTGGTCACCGGATGGATAATATGAAGGTGGACGACGTGGAAATGTGGTTGGTTGGTTGGTCAGTCGGCGTGATGGACCTATGGATGCGAATGCGACAGGCCCAGGGCGGTCAGTTGAAAAGGATGTTTGCGGAAAATAAGTGTTGGTCTGTGGAAGCAAGCCTGGGCTTTCTCCTCTCACCCAAAGCCCTCAAAAAAACAATAAAAATACGGTAGCCAAACAAGAAGTGAAAGTGTCCTTGGTAGAAAAATGAAAAACAATGCACTTTGTTAAAAAATAGTTGACAAGTGACTTGGTAAGATTGGGTTCACCGTGCCAACGATTCTATAACGTACAAAGTATTTTGAAGTAATCAATTGGTGGAGTATTACCTAAGGTACCTGAGGTACCTTATTTAGGATGTGTTACTTGTATCCGTGCAAAGGGCAAGGTACAGTACCTACCTACCTAGGTACGAATAGGTACGGATAAATCTAGAGATTTATTCGGCTGTCTGTGACAGGTTGGGCAAAGTCACAAGTCTGTGTGATCTGTACACGGAGTATTTTGGTCTACGGATAAGCAGAAGGGAAGGGGGAAGGTTTTTTTGCGTGGGTTCGTGTGTCACGGGGCTGAGTGCTTGCTTTGGTCGCATGCAAGTTGCACCCCCTTCTTGCCCTAGAATTGCCCACCGGGACGGCGCCGGGCTGGGCTGGCGTAATCGAGGAACACCAAAGTGGAGCGGTATTGCATCCGGTCAAGACCATGGGGGCACACCGTGGCGCGACCTAGGGGGTTGGTGGGGTTCTTTAGAAGGCTTAGAAGGGGTCCTTCAGGGCCCAGACCGCCCAGAACCGCCCATAGGAGGACTCGAGGGTCGCCCCAATATCTCGCCCTTTCAATAGTGGCTCGAGGGCTGTGAAGTTGTTACTTCATGTACCTTATCGTACGAAGCACGAAATATTTCGTACAAAGTGAAGACAGCATATCTCGACAACTGAACCACAAATTGGGTACGAAATATTACCCCATCATCCCTTTATTACTTGCTTCGGAACTCATTCATAAGGTAAGGTACCTTATGGGGAGGAACTCCGTACGGGGTAGGTACAACGTACGTTGTACTTCATAAGGCAGGCCCCCACCCCGCCCCCACCTCCTACACCACCCATCATCATGCAGCTTTACTGATCACGCAGCTGCACCACCACACCGCCGCAGGAACCCACCATTCATTCCATGGCTGCATCTCCAAGACTTCCCCTATTCGTACGGAGTAGTATATGTTGAGATGAACCATCTCGGGAGGCTCCCCTCGAATACTGACATCCAGCCTTTACTTTGTATTGCATCTCGTCTTCATTCCCTTTTCCCGCTTTCCCTCTTTCCCCGCGATTCTCCGATACCCAAGCAAAGCCGCAATATATCTCACACAGTCCACATAACCGTACAGTCTAACCTTCAGGCCAACCTTCAGGCCCAGCTCTCACCCACGCCGATTACCGACATCCCAGGCCAGGGGAAAGCGAATTGGACCTGACACAAAAATCAGCCTCGGTCATATAAATATAAATACTCCAGGCATATCCGACTTCAAGCGACGATGCTTCTCAACTTTGCTGAACTAACCCGCCAAACCGACGATATCCGCTCACGTAGTGCCCTCCTCTCGGGACATCTTCCGTATTCATACATAAGAAGTCTTATCTCCAAAAGCCAGTACACGCATACCAACAAGGAAACATGATTTTTGCTTCACGTGATTACGCTTTTCGTTTCACGTATTTTTATGCGAGATATCCTGCATAGTTCCATCCATGCAACCACCACTGGCCAGTTTTTCAACCGGTCAAGTCTTCCATCTGCAAGTCGTCGTAGACTCCACCAATGTGGTAGTGACTTGCATCACCAAGCTCAGTTCTGACAGGATCCCTATCTTGCAATTGCTGTGAGAACAACCAACACGCGCTAGAACTTCACATTTACCCGGCGGTGGACCTTGTCGGGTGCTATCTGGCGCTCATATTCCAGGTTTTCCCTTCTCACAGCCCGACATACTGCCAGGTCTCCGCCCAGGCAGTCGATCCTTCGAAGCATTATCTTGCTTGATCACATGTGATTTTGTCAGATGCCCTGCGTTGCATCTAAACGCTCTTTATACTCGACCACTGCAAGATCGCGTTCCGCAAGAATGGCGCGTTGGTTGTATTTCTCCGACGTCTGCTTGGCATCACCGCATCACGTCGCCACTCTGCCTGCAGCTGCCACACGGTTTGCATACCATCGCCCCTTCTCTCAGGCCCACGTCTTATTCCCAAGACAAGCAAGAACTGTGGTGATTAGTAACGATTCCTCCGACTGCAATGTAGGTGGAAATGACACGGACTTTTCAATATCTTGCAAGCAGATCAGGGTTTAACATCATCTGACGTGGCTTGGGAAAAAGAGGTATCGCATCGAAATTCTGTGAGACGACCTCGGTCTGCTACCGCTGACCATGGGCATCTCTGCCACATGCTGCTTCGCGACTGCCGCAGAGAAAGGGGGCGACCAGAGCATGAATAATCACAATCACGCACCCCGAGCTGACTGAGACGTTACATGAGCGTGTAGCTCATAAGGGTCCTGCCCTGCCGCAGATCTGGAAATGGATGCCGACGATCATACGCTGTCAGAAGTATTGTATTCGGCCCGTAAATGCCGACTTGGGAGTCACTTTCATGCGCGAAAGGCCTATCTTTCTTTGCTATACTATACCTCGAGCCGATGGCCGTCCAAGCTCCCCTTGCTTGACCTTTTTTTGGACCATCGAGCATTGAGAGTCGTGGAGAGAGAAGAAGCCCTCAGGGCACCGAGGAGAGCACAGCTTCAGTGGGGAAATAAACTTCTTTGGTCGATGGCCTGGGTCGGGAAACGAGCACTCTTCTGGGGTAAGGTGCAAAGGGAAGTCTTATAATGAACACCAACCCGTGAGAGTCAACGGGCACATGATGAAAAGACCTTTGGAGTTCGCTTGTCGTTTCTCAATGCGAAACTGAAGGACCTGCTTTGCATCCAGCGGAGGAAGTCAACGTAGATTGACTGTCAGACTCCTGTGTCACGCTGGTGTCACCTGGAGCGATACGGGTTAGGGAATGACTCCAATGACTACCAGGATAGTAGATTATTCGATTTGGTGGTAGGTACACGAACAGTCGAGTACCCAAGAGGCTTGTTGAAATTCATGGATGATATGTAGAAATTGACACAGCGAAGAGAATCACATGGGAGCCTAAGAGCCTCACCAATACTACCTTGCTCGGCAAGTCTCCAGGGACGAGATATTGTGAACGAGTGGTCAAAGGCGTTCCATGCAGTCATGTGGCATCTAGGTGGTGAGGGTCGGTGAGACGTGCCCCTGTTTGGGGTTCATCAGACAGTATGAGCTTAGCAGGTTGTGTCGCATGGGCAGGACCACGATATAGTCTATAGGGGATCCAGGGGGGATCCACTCCATGACTAAGGGCTCCGGATATCGGGGACTTTAGGTATCAGGATATAATAAGGGTGGATACCGGAAAAGACCGGATAGGATCTAAATGATATAGTACCTATAACAGAGTCTTCACTACCTAAATTAAGGGTATAAAAGACTCTCCTAGATATAACTTAATATAATATATATATATAAGATTGCTGCTCTACTAAGTTAATTATTAAAGTGCGTTTTAACGTATAATAGTTATAAGCCCGGTTTATAACGCCTAAACGATAGATATTAATAAGGCTATCCCTATTCCACTATAAAGAAGTAATCACGTCTATATAAGCACTCTTAAATAACTACTATCGACCTAATCAGAGTAATTAAGAGACTAATTAACCTACCTATTAATTAACTAACCGATAAACGATAATCTAGTAAGGATATCTTCTAACGTATCTAACACCGAATAGAAGACGGCCGCTACTACCCTCGTTAACTAAAGGGATTAGGTAGTTTAGGAGCGCGCCGTACGCGGTAAATTAGCCTCCTACTAGGATAACTACCTTAGTCTAAAGCTAAGCGATAAGGAGGCTAACGCCTATCTCCTCCCTATACCCATACCCCCTAACGTTCGTAAATACAAAGCCCTCGCCGCGGACCCTAACGCGGAGGCCACGGTTACTACCGTCACGGCTACTCCGTCTTCTACTATCACGCTAAAGGGCGATAAGGCCACGGATACCACGGATACCGCCGCCACGGCCGCTACTATAGCGGCCACGGCCGCCGGTAAGAGGAAGACGGCCGCTTACCGGAAGGCTACGGCTATAATAAAAGAACTAACGACTAGGACGCCTACGTTTATCGATGACCTCTCTAAAAAGGGGCGCACGCGCTACCTATAAGATCGCCGTATATACCGCGAGGAAAAGGCAGACTACGACGCGTAGTAGAAGGAGTTTAATAAGGTACGCTCCTATATCGAAGGGACTATATATACTACGTTATATAACCTCCTTACCTAGCTATAGGACAATACCGTAAATAACCCGCGGGCCTAGATTACTCTCCTACACGCGCACGTAGGACCGATACCTATAGACCTCCGTAAGGAAGCCCTGGTCCTATACTAACGATACACTACGCCTATAAAGGCTATACCTAAGGATATAGACGCCTAGGTAGTAAGCTAGAAAATAGCGATAATATACTATAAATATATAGGCGTTTTAGAGCTATTAAGCGCGGATTATTAAGCAGAAAACACGTTAAAAGCTATTAGACCTATTACCTAGGAATAGAGTAATAACTACCTAGTAAATAACTACGATAAGATTATAGAAAACGAGCTAACGATTAACGACTTCGTAAAGGCTCTAAGGGCGGTTCTTAGTAATATAAAGAGCCTATAATCCTCCACTATAAAGCCTAGAGTTAGGAGAGGCACCTTTAATACCCTTAGGAACCTCCCCGATACTAAGGATACTATTACTGCTAATAATAAAGATAATAAAAAGCGTCCTCGTAGCGACACGTCCTTAAAGGCTATCCCTCCCGTAATAAGGAGGCCCTGCGAGATATACGAAAACACCTATACTACCGCCGTCTATTAGTATATAAGGCCGGATATACGCCCTTATACTTAGCGTGGCCGTGAAGATATTATAAAGGTCGCGGAAAAGAAGATACGTATTTATAGTTTTAAAAGCCGCGTGGATACCGCGATATAGAAGAGGCGGGAAGTAGTAGCTGCTACCGCTAATAAGATAGAGGAAGTCCAGGAAGATTAACTCTATAATACTACGCCTACTATAGTTTATAAAGACCTGTCCGTTACCGCGACGGGGAGACTAGGAGCCCCCCTAACCTAAGAGGTAGCGCGTCATCATACGACAATACTATTAAGATTATAATAAGAATAGGGGATATCCCTTTCTATTAACTAAGCCAGAGCGTTATTATACTACGCGATCCTAGACTTAGGATCGTTAATTAATATCTTTAATAATCGAGGCCGTTTTACGGCCGTTAGACTACCCACGGTTAATTTATCAACGCTTTAGGTGGGTACTTATAAGGCTCCTATCCTCGGATACGGAGACGTTAAGCTACGTGTATAATCCCTAGCGGGCACGAAGAGGCTGCTACGCCTCCGTGATATCGTATACTATAAGGAATTCGTTACTAATATCGTCTCGGAACGCTAGCTACGCCTATAAGGTTACTACTAGGATATCGTAAACGATACTATTATTAGCTCCGCTAATAACCGGCCTACCTATAAGCTACTAGATATCCACGGCTAGTATATAATCGAGCGCGCGGAAGCCACGGCCGCTACCGCGTTCGCGGTCTCGGTAAGGCACCCCCGCGATAACCCGTATAGAAGATCACGATAACCGCGGTAACCGTAGAAGACTATAGTATAATAGTAGCACGAACGCCTCGGCCACTATAGCACCGATACTCTTATAAAGATCGTCGACGTTATTTAGGGGGTAAGGATAAAGGGACCACGTATAACGGACTATAACACGTATAGATAGTTGTAAGTGCCTATATAGATCCGGCGGATACTATCCCTTTACCCGTTAAAGCCTAGAGAGGCCCTCGCTATTAATTTTTATAATCTAGAAGAGGCGGAGTAGTTAGCAAGCGGATAGTATAAGTCTATTATATCCGTTATAGACGTGTATATAGGTTATATATAGGATTACTACCTATAGAAAAGAGACTAAGGCTTTATCCTACACGCTTTAAAGGACGTTTTTACCCTGCTTAAGACCTAATTCGATATTAGGCCACGCGTTCTACGGGCTGATTCTAAGATATTTTAGCACCTAGAAGTCGTTGCTTTCCTCGCTGCTAAGGGGGTGGAAGGCTAACCGTTAGCACTATATTTCTAGGATTAGAACGGCGTAGTAGAACGGATTAGAGGTATCGTTAAGAGAAGGGCGAGGGCTATAAGGATTAGAGCTAATCTGCCTATATCTATCTGGCCTAAGGTCTTTAAGACTACTATATATCTGTATAATAGAACGCCACGATATATTAACGATTAGAAGATACTATACGAAGGCCTGCGCGGCTGTTAACCTAACCTTACGCACCTACGAGCTTACGGCTATAAAGCCTTTGCAAAAACGTGCGATACCTAAGCTAAAAGGAACCGCCTATAAAGGCTGGAACCGAAGGTATAGATCGGCTATCACGTCGGATACTAATCCTCGAATAGCTTCCGTATTTAGCTGCTATACCTAACGGATATTATTACTATAAAAGACGTGGTTTTTAACGAAGACGAGATATTTAACGGCAGGATTAAAACGCTATAAGCCATAGCTTCCGCCAAGGAAATCGGGGAACGCCTATAATCTATCCGTATTACCTATACTATAACCGCGAATAGGCTACTATTAAGAGGTATAGCTATAGACGTATTAAATCTCGAGTCGGAGGACTTTTACGCTACCCCTATTACTACGGACGAAGGCGAGGCCGTCACTATTACTATATAAGAGGCCACTACTATTGCTATAGACTATACCGTTATTACTACGAGCACCGCTATTACTACGGATACTGCTATTACTATAGAAGAAGACTATACCACCGCTATTACTACGGGTAAAGGCGATACCACCGCTATTACTACGGATAAAGGCGAGGCCGTCGCTATTACTACGAGAGAGGCTACTACTATTACTATAGACGAGGTTCTAAATCTATAGCCTAATAACTAGGCTATAGATTTAGAATCTCGTAACTCCGACGCTACTGCTATTACTACGGGAGAGGCTACCGCTATTACTACGGACACTTCACGGTTTACCACTACGAGGTTTAAACCGTTTCCTACGCCTCTAATATCCCCTAAAGATCCCGCGCGCGCGTTCCTTATAGCGTTAGCGGTGGTTAGGTGCGCTAAGGTGGAAGAACACGATAACCACTAACGGATAGCTATAGGTGCCCCTAAGGGGTGCCTATTAGCTATACTCCCGTCGGCCACGCGCTTATTACCCGCGCGCCTATCTATCGCGAGAACTATCGTAAGTCTATACACGACCGAGAAGGTCTAGAACGATAACGCCTAGA